GGGTAATGAAGCATTTCTAGCTTAGAGCACCCTGTTCGCCAGCTGATTGGGTGTGTATTCCGAGTCTTCGTAGAAAAGAAGAAACGCATTGGATGCATCTCGCAGGCAAGTAAACCAGAAGAGTGCCTATGGATAACATCTGCCGGACGCTGGGTGGAAGAAAGACAGTGTCGGGTTCTTTCTAGTAGGAGAATAGAGAAAAGAGCTGACAAGTCCCGTGACAAAGGCTCTCTCACCTGACAGTGGAGGGAGATCTCAAGAGTTCAGAGCTCTATCAAACATTGATTCTGTCACTTGTTGATTCCAGCCGGTACTCCAAGATGAAGACGTCGCAGTGGAGAAGAGAAAGCGCTCCAAATAACCTTGATCAGATATACAGGATACGCTCTCCATCTGGCCCAGTGAGGTTGTGTTGGAAAATGCACACCCTTGGTCTCGGTATACAGGCTGAACCTTGCCTTTCCACTGAGGTGAGTTTGGCAGCTAGGCTGGTACCTTCTGCGCCATACTAAGGTTGACGGTCGAGCAGGCAGGTCACTTAATAGCCATGTCTGAGCAATGCTTCATTCGAAACTAAGACTACCGAGTCTGCTGTTGCCAACCTCGATTCTTGAAAGGCGCACTCCAGCCACCTCGAGTCCACGACATATCTAGACAGAGCAGCTGCTACGGCCAAGGTAGCGGCGTAGCCAGATGACTTCCGAAGGTTAGAGATGTAAGCCTCAGATTCGCAACCGGACTACTAGGATATAAAGAATTGTATGATCGGGGAATATCAGCTATGCGTGACGTATGGATTGGGTGTCAACATCGTTAACACAAATCAGACTTCAAAACTTCTACCAAAGCACCCCACACTTGAATTAAGGATCTGTCCAGCAGCACATTAGCACCGGCGTCTACATAGCCTGGCATATAATCCGATTAAGGTACAATAGATCTTTTCCTTATCCCAACCAAATGCAGCAATGCAGTAACCGTGGATGTTGAAATGCTAGGAATCCCACAACGCCGTCTATGACAGTTAAACCGAGTATTCAGAAAAAATGGAGTGTATCTTGAAAGAATGGCTGCAACACGCTATGCGTCGAACAACAGAATATAGGAAACATAGTATCAAGAGTAGATCAATCATGCCGCTCCAGGGAAAGACAAAGGGAAAAAAAAAATGGGTCGTAGCTAGACGGGCGGCGCTCTTGCGCTCAAAAATGCTGAGTTGACAGAACACATAGGAAATGAAAGGAAGGAGAAAGATGGTGGATATATAAACAGAAATATGAGAAAGATCGTAAGCGAGAACGAAGCATATCACAAAAGAAAGTGTGCGTCATGATCGTCTCTGTTGCAGACCCGCTACAAGCCGAGCCTCCTCAAATCAAGCTATTCGAGCATGGAAATAGGATGGGTATCTGGAGGACGACATGATGATAGCTTTTAGTCATTGACCATGTCATCCAAGGCCATTTTTCTCCGCTTGGCTGGCCTTGAATCCTGTGAATGAGGCTCAGCCGCAGATTGCTCCATTTGGGCTTGCGAAGGGGACAATTGTAGCGATTGTCCTTCTGTACCAGGAACCATGGATCCCAGGTGTCGTAAAGCTGGATCGACGTATCCTGAATCGGATCCTCCCGGACGCATTTGACTGTTCGGCGAAATCGGCTCGATATATCCGTGCGGTGGCATATGTTGTCGATGTTCCTGTGACAAGTAGTCCTCTCGCATGGGCGACGACCAAACTGCAGGGTATGGGTCACTGCTTAAGCGATGGCCTTGCGACACATGAGCCGGTGTTCCCATCGTCGGCGCATAGATCGGGGGAAGCCTGACCGGCGATTCGCCGTACCCTTCACGGGGATCCCTTCCTACTGGCATTTCCCCCATCGGCATTCGATTTGCCATTCTCGTGGCCTCCGCGTAAGGCGACATCGGAATAAATTGCTGTTGGTATTGCGGCGGGGTCGTAGCAGGATTCAATGCTTGGTGGGTGTAAGAGGACAGATGCCTTCCAGCTCCCGTAGGCATGCGACCCATTCCCAGTGCGGGATTGTACCCGGCAGGCATCGGCACATAGGTGGGCGGTGATGTTGTCGTCATCGACTGAACTGATCCAGAGGAGGAAAATCTCCGATGACCGATGCTTCTTTGCATTGTCATGGCAGGATCCAGGGCGTGGGGGTACATCGAAGCAGACCACCGGTGCGGATGTCCTGACGAGGCCCTCATGGCCATTGCTCCTGCTTGACCTCCCATCATTTGCAGATCTGTCACAGGGCGTATTTCCCGCGAGGAGGTTGCTCGATGCATGTGTGTCCGTCTCGATTGAGAGCCATGAGGCTCCCCGGCAGTTGCTCGATCCAGGTGTGCGGCATACGTTCTGAGGGATGCTTCTTCCGCCTTCAGCGGCGGTCGCCCTCGCTTCTTGTGCGTGACATCTACACATGTAGCCTACCGAGATATTAGCACATTCATCCCCATTCAGTATCACGGTGCAAGCTTCAGGCTGGCATGTGGGATCGAAGCAACAAGAGCGGGCAAACTCTCCCAGAGTGATTGAGCGGGAATTCCCATCGACACTTACTTCTTTTCCTGATAGAACGCATCTCCGACATGGCCGCGCTGGATCACAGCCCAAGTGCTTCTTTTTGCAGTTTACGCACGCTGATGCGACATGCGCTTTTGTGCGTCTGGTGGGCTTTTGCGGTATTGGTCGGGTAGAGGCATCCGGAGGCGACGATCCGAACGAAGGCGGGGCGTAGGCGACCGCCGAATATTGCGATAAAGGTTGAGCTCCGAGCGACGGTGGGAGTCGTGCTCGTGTCGAAGAGAATGCATCGCTAACACTAAGCGGTTGCCGTATCACTTCCTCCCCGGGCGCGGAAACTATGCGCTGCACCAGCGGTTCCGAAACAGCTCCAGCGCCCGCGGGTCCCGAAGGGAGATGAGATCCAGAAACAGCAATGGGTGTCGTCGTTGGCGCTGTTACGTTCGCGGTTGATACTGGTTGGAAGAGCTCCGGATGTCCGGGGCGCCTCGCGGTCCCAGAAGTCTCCAGCGAGTCTTCTGCTGGGACCGGACCGGACATAGAGCGAGGGGGCGGTAAATCCCGAGGAGTGTACCGTCGAGCATTTGTCGATCGAGGGAGATTGAACGAAAGCCGCTCTTGGCCTGGGGTTAACCTTGGATGGCCGAACTCTGTAGAGATGTAGGAAGAAGGGGGAAGGACGAGTGATTGCATCTGGTAATACTGGGTCCCTGGATTGGCAAAAGAGCCACTGTTCACAAAAGTAAAGGGACGCTGTTCGGTTTGACTGTTGAGATAAGCATATCCGACATTAAAAAGGGTCCTCAGTTGTTTACTCGAAGACGGTGTGTTGTTCAGTCGCCAGTCATCGTTGAAACTCCACACTTGCAGGCAGAGGGGCCACAGGAGCTTATAATCAGTTAGTTCAGGTTCACGGTTGGAGGAGTCACAAAGGAGGATACGTCGATCAGTAGTAGATAGCAAGATCGTGACAGCGGTTTTCCATGGCTTCGATGGTCCCCATCTTGGGGTGATTTATTGCAGCATGGCGGGCGATCACTGGAGCCCAAGGAAATGCACAGAACGACAGGAAAAGCAATAATCATGGAATGGATTCGAAAATAAAATACACCATTTTGTACCTTACCTTTCAGTAAAGAACCAGAACCTTCTTTTTGTTTTTGTGACGGCTCTTGCTTTCTGGGTTTATGGTTTTTTTTTTCTTTCTTCTTCCTTTTTTGAGATGACCAACTTGACCGGAGTATCTCTTCCTACTGCATCATATAAGATTCAAGGACGGAGTATGAACTGGCTCAGTCGCATCCGACGGTAGATGCGGGAATCGGTGAGTGAGCTGGTATGTGGTGAACTATACCGGAAAGTGAGGCGTATAGATCCGGTGAGATCACACTCCCTCTTCCCCAAGAGGAAGTGAGTATGGGAGTGAGTCTGAGAGGACAGGAAGATCGAAGAGGGAAGATGAACACACGAAGAACACGAATAGGAAGTTTTTTCTCCGGTGTCCAGATCAGAGGTGCAGCTGGTCAACGGCCCAGGGAAGTTTGCACTGCACTTGAACCGAGAGACAGACAGACAGTCAGTCAGATGGACAGTCAACTGGAAGGCAGTTCAGTCACCCTAAAGAGGGAAGGACCCAGAGGGATGTGACGGGTGTAAAGATCCCAGTCCCTCATCGTAGGTTGCGGCAAGGCTTATACCTCTTTTTTTTTATTATTCATTTCCCTCTTGAAGTGAAGGGACCCTGTTTGCTTGGTTGGCTGACAATAGAGGAGCGGTTGAGGGTGGGTAATGGGTGCCCAGTGCAACACCGACTAGCAGCCGATAGACTACTTGATCTTCATTGATGGGAAGATCTGAATGGGGAATCTCTGGTTCCGTATTCTCTGGAAGCATGTCAGTATGTACGGGAGTAGATTTGGGGGGAGGATCAGGAGAACGAGTGGTCCCAATCCTCCGGAGAGTTGAGACGCGGGTTTGTCAGAAAACCCCCATTTTCCAGATAGCTTCACCAGCCTGACAATGGGATGGACCCAATCATTGCATTTGGAGATTTTCCTTTTCCTTTTCTTTTTCCAACTTTCCTTTTTCTTGTATTTATTTTCAGTGTTTTTCCGATTTGTGAATGCTCTGGTCAACAGCTCCTTCTGCGGTTTTGCTTGTCGGTGATTCGGGATCTCGAACATTATTTTGGTTTTGTTTTTTTATTTTTTTTTTTATTTTTTTGGTTTTTGTAAATATTGCTTTGGGATTAAAATAACGATTTTGGATAAATATGATTCGAGTTCTTTCCTGTTCTGAGGAGGGAGGGAAAGATTTCATTTGTTCTAACCAGCTGGCTGGGTCAAAAGCAGTGGCCTGCATCAGATGGTCGATGGAGACTGGATGCCGCTGTCAGTGACACAGGCCCGAAAATGATTCAATTGTTTTAGAGATTTTCCCAAACCGGAAAGCAAGTGGGAGTGCAGTGCCCAGTACTAGCCAGGTGCAGCCTGCTGAGCTGTGGGAGAAAGAGCATAAGAGAATACGTAGTAGTATTAGTATGTGTGAGCAGGGCGAGTGGGCAGTGGTCCAGTCTGCAAAGACTAAACCAGAAATCTCATATCTTTATTCTATTTTCTTTTCGAAATTGTTTTTTTTTTCTGTGAGAATTACCTTTTCTGGATATATCTCGTCCTCTGTACTTGGTAGTTCAGCAATGATGCCAATCAGAAGAAGCGGAAGCAAGGCAGGAAAAGTTGAATGGAAAGAAGAGCCCCTCAAAGTTGGCGACGGATCGACATCGGCGCCCACCCGCTGCAGCCATTGCCAATAGTCCCGCTTCGGTAGGGATGGGTGGGTGGGTGGAGAAATAGGAATAGGAAAGGGAAGTTGACACGCGCGACCGATCAAGGCATAAATGGAGAACTCGTCACCCAGCAGCTGTACTCCGTAGGCTGTGCACTAACTTATTATCCATGATTATTTTAAGCACGTCCGGCATTCACATTGGACGGATAATTCCTGTCATTGTGTAACCCCTTTCTCATCCTATCCATATGGCTTTTTTGTGGTCGCAGTCGAGACCTCAATGCTAACTACAGGTACATACAGTAGTAGTAGGAGAACTGTACCTGTTTCGCTCTTCTTTCCACTCGGCCCTTCCTTCATACTACTATTACAAATGAACGCCAATAACTTATATACACCGGATTCGCGGAAGAGACGTTTCCGCTTCCTCGCCCTTAAGTTCTATTTACACTGTATGTGCAGTGCAGTACAATACCTCGGCAGTTCATGTTTGCCGCACTAAACCAGTGTCACTCGGACTATCCCGTCCGGGTTCGAGAGGAAGAAGCATAAAGTAGAGAATACTAGTAATGCATGCATTTTGGCACGGAACAGGCCATTTCCAGATTAGTTGAGATTTCATTGGAGATTGAAAAGATGAAGGAACGTGGTAGTTTTGTGAACTGCTCCAGTAATCTGAGTACTTCTTTTCTCTGTTTCTTTTTCCGCCGGTCCGTAGGGCCATGAGACTCTCACTCACTCACTCACTCACTCACATATACTGCAATTGTTGTACTCAAAGCATGCATTATTGGGGATCTTTCGACCAATGGCAAAACTTGCATTCCTCCTAGTACATCTTACCTTACTTTCTGCTTCGGTATTTTATGTTGGCGACATACTCCCAATCTATTGTTCCCTTTGAGCTGGTCCGGCCGTAGATAATTGTGGTTAAGGAGTAAGTAGAGTTGGAAATAGCTCCCGAGGCCCGCCCCATTCTTGTCAAACCGCCTAGGGCGAAGGAGGAGATATTGAACGCATGGCTGATGGACGCCGGTTTAGTCACCGATTGCCATGCGCACTTGTACGATGACATCAATGCCCTTCCCTCATTCTAGTTGCATAGGTACTCAGAGGCCGGTATGTCTACCATTGTCTAGAGCTAACAAGTGCAAGTGTCATACTGCTCCCTAAACATCTCTATAAGTGCGAAAGAATCTCTCTGGTAACGAGATTCTCAAACGGAAAGCTTCACTCGATCAAAACGATATCCTGCCCTATCATGATGGTGGTTGGTGGGTGCTGGAGGGGCAGGCCGCTACATTAATAGCCCGAATGGTCCCGAATGAAAGCCAGTAATTCTCCGGCTTGACACTACGATAGCTTACGGCGCTATGTTGGGTCCCACCCGGAAATGCCATTGGGGCTAACGGGAGTGTGTCCGACAACTGTGAAGGCTAGAATGGATGTCTTCGTACGTGCCACCCAAATGAATCCCAGTGTGCAACAGTTTGGCCGGTCGGCTCTTGGAATCAGGTGCAAGCTCGCCACCATTCCCTAAACCTACGCATCGAATTCCTGAGTCTTTGCCGTTGTTGTGCTATAAGTGACAGGGAATCTGCCAGCTTCCAAGCTAACTTGTCGTTGGAGATACCCCGCGACCTGATTCAAGCACGGAAAATATCGCTTGTATCCGTGCAATGTCGAAACGTGCTGAAAAGCATGAACGGGGCAGATCTTCAACGGGAAATAGACGACTTTTCAAGCCAGTGGAAGAGCGTAGGGAGTCGATGTACGATAATTCCGATACAGGGTCTTGTTACCCGTTGCGAGGGAGCTGGCCTTAAGGATTAGAACTCCACCAATTGTCCAACAAGATGGTCAGTGGAACAGGCAGTTAGGCCTAGCCCAATTATCTCAAATGCGGTAGTTTCGCATGAACACGACTCATAAATGGTCCGTCTGATAAGGAGAGTGTGACCCACCATGCTCGTTGGGAGCGGAGAGCGAGCTTGGATGCCAGATGAGCATCACGAGTAGCTCACTGGCATTCCGTAACGGCTTTCCCTAACGTGAGAGGGAGCCGAAGCCATTGTACCCGACACTTGCTGCTGTATGGAGTCTATGATCTTATTCGGATGGATCAAAGCTTTGATTTATTTCCCGCGGCCTCGCTTATTGGACAAGTTTGAGCCGGTCGGCTTGTCCTGGGCCATGACTATTGATTCCCGTCAAGAATAACGGGAGCCACTGCGGGGATCTTCGTGTCGTGAATCCCCCAGGCTACAATATGACAACACTGGCTGGTTTCCCCGTCCTTTGCGAAGTATTGACCTTCAGTCGGAAAGGGATGTCGCGTACTGTACACTGCACCGAGACCACTTGGAATTCGGGCAAAATTGGCGTAAGATGAACGAATGAGGATCGCGTATGACAGTCATAGCCCCATCAGTATGCGTAGTCCGTACAAAGTCGGGAAAAGAGACCACATGAAGCAATGAACCTAACTCATACACGAAAGGCCAGCAAGGGATCCAAGGTAATTCACACTGGATATGCGCTAACAAATCGCGGGACAATTGCTAGTTTAGTTAGTACAGTACATCCAAACCGGCAAAAGCGTTGGGTCTAATTCGAGCTTTGAAGCGACAGCACGATCTGCCCCCGACAGTCATCAATAGTTCGAGCGACCGGCCCCAGGGACTTAAACCTCAATGGGTAAGGGCTGGAGTAATCCATGACGGATGGATCATGCGGCTTGCGGATGGGACGCGTACGGAAAGATACTATGCACTGTAGCTTAGTCGTTGGCATATTGATAGTCGATGATAGTCCCCGCAATTCCTCATGGCATTAGTAGTAGTAGTAGCTAAGGTCAGTGAACCTGCTCCTCCGTGTCACCCAGATCGCCCATTGAGGTCTGACAATTGCGGCAATACTGTGCATACCATTGTACCGTCTTAGCGTCTGGAAAGGGGCACATCGTGGTCTGCACGGGAGGAAGAGACTCAACAATGCCGTGGAAAGGGAATGATGGAAATGCAAATGGATGGAACTGGTACTGCATGGTACATTGCAGCTCGTTGAGTTAGTCTAGTCCCGAGTCCCTTGTGAGTCTAAAGCAATTGAGTCGACGGTCACGGGTCACGGGTCGATCAGGCTTTTGCCCAAAGAAGTCTAGCGCGGTCAGGAGAACGACGAACCGTTTTGGGAAACACGCAGCGCCCCTCACAGGGTAACGATTGGCAGGCGCGGGCGGCGGTATTTGTCAACCCACTCAACCCCATTCAGGTTCGAGGCTCAAACAGACTATCACTTTGACTACTGACGCCGCACTGCGAACTAACTCGACTCTAATAATAAGACCGATGCTATACCTCATCCTGGATATTCCCGAATATCGAGGGGATCCTTCTTCCTTGTTTGACCCACGGTTATGCAATATCTAAGCTCTCTGCTTTACTGTCCTCCCGGTATGACCATGTTCTGCCGCGATCAATACTATTGTACATCGCCATCTTCCTTGTCCCGTGGCGCATCCAATATCCCGTATCGAAGATCGGATAGCATGGAACGGTGCTCGAAAGAGAACTGGAAGCCTAACAATAGTCACGTCAACAAAGGGGAACAACCGCGGGTGGCCATCGCTCCATGATACCATATTGGTAGCACATCCGTGATCCTACAGCTTTTCCTAGTGCATAGTCCGGCTACAAACCGATATCAAGTAAATCTTCCGAGAAAAGGGTCTTTCCGAGGAAGAGTCCAAGCTAGTGATATCGACACGAGGGCAACTGTGCACGGTAGACGTCCGATAGCCACATTAACGGTACGGCCGGAGGCTTTTGCGGCTAGACTGCTTCATTGCCACGCCATCATGGTTCTCGATAGTGCCGAGCACCTTGATAGACTCGCTTCTCGATTCATCTTTCTACATGGAGATATTTTCGCTGGTTAAGTCGCTTAACACGTTGTTGGTAGCCACCTCATGAACATCCTTCCACTGTGCCCGACATGAGGATCTACCGAGTGTGGCTCTCGCAGCAATGAACATAGTAGCGTGTACCTGAGCAATAGAGGCAACAGTTGTTCTTGGAACATATGTTCCCAAGTGTGGGTTCTTCTATACATCTATAAGGTCACGAAGGCTAGGAAGCTTACTATTCGACGACCTGAAGAGGGTTGGCCCAGGATGCATACACTCAACCACATTGAAGTTCTAACACTGGACTGCCACGGGCCTCGGCAGCAATTCATGCTCTATGGTACTTCTCGCGGCAAGATAGATGATGAGCGTCTGGGCAGTGTTATGCCTGGAAGCGCTCGTTGCGACGGAGATCGAAAAGTCGCCCTTAGGGGAGAGATACACACAGCCACTACTATCCAGAAAATTCCCGTTCTGCACCGGCCGATCTCGTTTAACGACGTCTCCCGGAGCTTCGGAAATCAGGAACCAATAGGCATTGGGTCATCCCCGGCGCCACGAATCAACGGTCTTTGGGCGCTCTTATACCTTACAACCGTGGTCTACGGGTGATTCTAGGTTTCCCTTTGCAATGTCCTGCTGCTCGCGGGCTTGACCAAGGGGCGACACTTGTTTCCTCGATAGCGTCTCATGCACATGAGGTGACTCGTGGGCAAGCGTACTTACTGTACTACCTCCATTGAACGCTGACATGCCAGCAACATTCATTTGAACCTGTGAACTGGGCAATGTATCAGTACCAGAGGCTAGAGCGCGGCTCACCTTTGCCTTTGCAGGGGTCGCTTTGGAAAAGGTCACTTAATCCGCACCGGCCTGGGACCCATGCATCATCACTGCATCAATGGTATTGTCGTTGGTCAGAACGGTCTGCAGGGAGTGCTAAATGCATCAGCAACCACTGTATGACGAACGTTAAGCCCGCGGTCTGCAATCTGCACTACGGGATGACCAGTCATCTGCATGGGGCAACTCAGATGGCGGAGCCCGAGATAGGCATTTCGCTTGATAGAGAGTCGGTGAGGATGTGACAAGTCTCTTCACAGACACTCAAGCGGCTTCCATGATTTCCTCCTCGATTCGCCATCTTTTTCCGTCTCCTCCAAGACACCCGGTGAAAAAGGAACCGTAACCCTACTCCGGGACGGTCCGAGTATGATGAAGCCCATAATATGAACATTCCGAATATGGAAGACAAGCCGTACAATAATTGACCATGGAGAAAATTATTTATCTACGAACTTGCATGGTCTCACAGGAATTGGTGTCTCCATGATCCCGTGTATTATCTACGGAAAAGGGTGGTGTCAGATTCGTCGTTGCTTACAGTGAGTAATCTTCCAAATCCGTCATCCCCATTCTGCTGCTCAAGACAAGGTCTAAGAACTGATACTCTAAGACCGATGCACGCTGCTCAAGTTAGGACTATAGATTGAAGCTTCACAGAGTCACAGTGTCATCATTTTCGTATCTCCTGCCGGTTTGTTGCTGATGCGACTGCAACGAGGTCTGCATCCAAGGCACAGCATCAATCGGTGCGCGCAGAAACTTTCTCTGTTGCAGCTCATCGGACTGGGTGGACTACCGGCCGACTTTACACGGGCGTTGTGTTGGTATGCAGCGGTGATCAGTGCATGATCGTCTGTTCTGTGGAGGGTAAGCTTGGATCCAGCACTAACTTTTGCCTAGTATTCATTACAGCCGGACTTGGCAATGCAGTGTTACCTTCCTAGTGGATGTGCATGCTGGGGAGTGAGGAGCTCTCTCGTTCCCTGCCTATGCTATCGAGGAAATGGCTTGTGAATGTCTCTGTCTATTGAACATGACGCTTCAAGGAGGGAACGTGTACCGAAGGACGAGTAGACAGAATACTCTTAGAGTTTCTGTTGTAAAACAGTGACTTGAATGCGCTTGCCCATGGGGCATTGCTGGCACTGTGCCAGTTCTCGGTTTTTTCGAGTTTCCTGGGTACATTTGCTTCAATCTTCCTACGGATCTACGGGACAAAGACATGTCGGTGGTCAGCAGGACCTTGAACAAGGACTCTCGGCTCCGATGGACTCTGACGCATACTGGCGGCCGGCTACGCCTTTGCTGTTGCTGGTGACTCGGTGCGAACTCTGTCCTGCCGACCATGCGCGGTGTATACAGTCGGGCAGCCTACAGTACCGCGATCAATGTCACGGTAGATCATCTGTTGTGGTACCATGGAGAGTTTCTTGGGCCCGCAGGACCACCGGGTGACTCTATCGGCGAGGACTCTGGTGGAGGGGACGACAACGAGGTCGATTCTCCTACCGTGTCGAGGCCGACTCTTTTACTTCGTAGCATGCATCTTCTCCGACGCATGCAATTGGCCTGGATCTTGGATTAAGTGCCGACCTTGTCTTGCCTTTGCTTGCCAACACGGACCTGTGAAGCGGTATTTGCAAAACACAAGGTTGGCGTACGGTATCGACCTGTATAGAGGATAATGTCGTGGCTACCTTAATCGAGATGAGGCGTGCCGCTCTACTTCTGGTGGTCATCCAGATTGTAGTAGGGTCATTGCTGTGAAAGGGTCATTACTGTGGTAGGTCATTACTGTGGTAGGTCATTACTGTGGTAGGTCATTGCTGCCTGCGCTGATGGATGTAGGGTTGCCTGTCACCAGGCCGCTGTAATGACGAGCTCCTTGAGGCACCATTTCGTCAGCGGTTGGTGCTATGCGTAGAAAGATACGATGTAGGCATCGATCATCGCAGTAATCATGTCAGAACAATTGCTCACAAAGATGTATGTCGAGAAATTCTCTGAAGGGCTGGCTGGGACTTTTCTTGAGGAGAAAAAAGAAATGACCAGACTGGGGCTCGATCCCAGGACCTTATCGGTGTTAACGATACGTGATAACCAACTACACCATCCGGCCAACTCATGCTTAGGGGGCTGCAATAGGGCACTATTCCCTTTATCAAAAACACTCTAGCTAAACACCCACTATCTCAACCATAAGATACCTGGTCAGTCTATCTTGCGATCGCCTTGTTCAGGCGGCATTGCTAGGTGCAAGTATGATGCTGCACCCTCTTATCGAATCTTCTCAAGCGTGCACGGGCCTGGATCACCATCTCAACCATCATCTCACCACAATCTCTGGATCTACCTTAACTCAACCATGGTAGCCGTCAATCGATGAAACTATATTTGCCAATCTGCGGAGAACCTCGGCTCAAATGGCCGAGACTACTTACTCTCTACCAAGATATCCCAGCCAGCCACGGTAGCTTCCATCAACACGAACTCGTATCAATCTCTCGACCTCGAAGAAAACCAGCTCCGCAGGCTCCAATGGACCCATCTACCAGCTGCGTACCAGTTGCACTGCGCCCCTCAGCTACCGAGTTACCCATAATTCTGCTTAGGATGGTAGGTAGCTGAGCACCCCACCCGCCGACCTGACCACAACATTCCCTTCCAAAATATACACCAACTCTATATCCCGACCCACCACAAACTCGAAGCATCCCACAAGGTAGGTCGATCCACGACAAAGCACCAGACACGATACTACCCGTGGCATGACCTGCAGGCCAGTCAGGGGAGTCTCGCCACCAGGAGCAAAAAACAACCGCCAAGCAAGTTAAACGTTAGACTTATCTTTAAGGCGGTTTCTTGATGTCAGCTGAGTGAGCGCTAGGCCTAAGCCTCACTGGGCCCCCGCCGATGACTGTGAACTAATCCGATACGATGCAGGATGCATTCCATCACTCAGCTCAGCTACCTATATTAACCAGTCATCCCCGGGTTCTCAGCCTCTCTTCCTCCAGAATTCACGCACTACAACTTAAAAATCACGACAGACACAATGGTCCAACCTTTGGAGATCCGGTTCCCCGGTGAGTAGCTCCCTCCTCGCCCGTCGGGCTATACTCCGCGAGAGATCTACGAAACTAACGGCGACGGATAGCAACCGACCCCAACGCATGGAGTGTACGCTGGCACCCTTTTTTTCCCCACACCCTAGAATGCACCCGATGCACCCTTCAAAACTAACAGAGAATAGATAATCACCATCGCCGAAGAACTCGCAATCCCATACACAATCCACCCCGACCAAATCCCCTCATCTCGCTCACCAAGCATTATCCCATCGACCCAAGAACTCCCAAGCAAGTACCCTACCCCAGATAACCCACCCGTGATCCCCTCCCCAAACCTCTCCCCAGAACACGCCCCCCCCCCATATAACAACAACTAACACATCATTAAAAATAGCCCTCACAGACCCCAACACAAGAACCACCCTCTTCCACGCCAACCCGATCATCCAATACCTCGTCGACCACTACGACCACACAAATGCTCTGAGCACTACTGCTACCACCACGGAGAAACACCTCCTGAACCAATGGCTGCATCTCCAGACGACGCTGAGCTCCAGCCCCAGCCCCAGCCCCAACTCCCAAACCCACAACGTCCTGGCAACGCTGAACACCGCCCTGACGAATCAACCCTGGCTCGTGGGCGAGCGCTGCAGCCACGCCGATTTGGCGTTTTTACCGGGTCTCCACGGTCTTGCTTCTTCTTCCGGGGATGATGGCCTGGGATTGGAGCTGATGCGGGCGTATCCGTTTGTCGCGGCGTGGGTGGGGAGGATGGAGAGGAGGGGGGCGTGGGGGAGGGTTCTTGCTGCACGGGAGGAGGTGTTGCGGGATGTGAATGCCAGTGCGGTTCGACCGGAAGAAGAAGGATTGTTAGATGGGGAGAGTGAGTGGGAGGAGCTTGAGGGGTGTTCTGTTGCTGTGGACCGCGTCGAGGAGGATGAGGGGGAGTTGAGTGTTCAACCTGTGGTTGTTGAGGCTGTGGTGAGGACGGATCAGGTCCATGATGACGAGGAGGAGAGAGAAGGGATGATGCCATGCGCAGCTGGATTTGCGCTGCAGAGAGTATCCACAGCTCGCCAGGTGCTGGGCTACGAGCACCGCGACGATGACAACGATGACGATGACGATGAGAGGGAGGGCCTTCTCCCGTGTGCGGCTTTTATGTTGCATGCGCATGCTCACGCAATCCCGAGTCAAACGAGGAGCGGCGAGGACGAAGACAGAGAAGGAATCCCCCCGTGCGGCGCCTTTGTCGCGCACGCGAAGCACCCATCGAATGCCACGACAGTCGTCGAGGAGGACAGTGATGACAATGAGAGGGAGGGATTCCTCCCGTGCGGTGCCCTTGGGGCTCACGCGCAGTATGCACCCTCTACCACTGCCGCAGAGGTCGACGGTGCCGATAACGACGACGATGAAAGAGAGGGCATGCTGCCCTGCACTTTGATCGGACTCCATTCAGCGCAGCTACCCCCGAAGACGACAGTGGTCGAAAGCGAGAGTGATAGCGACGACGAGAAGGAGGGGGTTCTCCCGTGCGGTGCCTTTGGGGCTCAGGCGCAGCACGCACCCTCTACCACTACCCCAGAGGTCGAGGTCGAGGATGATGACGATGAAAGAGAGGGCATTCTCCCGTGCGGTGCATTCAGCGCCCACGCGCAGCATGCACCCTCCACCGTCGAAGCCGAGATCAACAATGACAATGACGCCGACGAGAAAGAAGGCATGCTCCCCTGCGCCGGGATCGGGATGCCGACGCCACACGCAACATGCACAGCCGAGGAGGATGATTTCGAGCGCGAGGGCATGCCTCCCTGCTCTCTGATGGGGATGGTATACTAAGCCAGCCATAAAGCGAGACAGTTAACTCATCCGCGCTGAACAAATTGCTCCAGCCAGCGCGACCATAATAACATAATGCGAACACGATCTCATTCCCACTCGTATCATTGAAGTAAGGTATCTACATGCAACAAGAACAAACAAACAAACAGATTTTATGGTAAACCGTCCCGCACGAAATGGTATATACAAGTAGAAAGTCAAACCCCCCACATCACCAGAAAAAACTAAGCGAAGCATCACCTCTTCCGCGACGGCCTAGCATTCTTCTCCATGCGCTTCTGCTTCAGCTTCCTCGCGAGACGAATATCATCCGTGCCCCGAATCTCACTCTTGCCGCCCGCGGCAGCACCGCCGAATTTATTGAACTGCCGCTCCTTGGCGGCATCGTTCTTCTTCTTCATCTTCTCGTAATCCCCGCGTAAGGGGTCGGCGCGCTTGGGCGCACGCTCCTGCCGATGCCGGAAGCGCTTGCCGCCGCCGCCGTGACGGGCGGCAGCATCCAGATCCGCGGACATGCCGGGGGTCTCGGCCTCACCGACGCGGGGCATGCGGCCGAGGCGCTTGCCCTTCTTCCAGGCGTCGAAGCGGCCGCTGCGGAAGGAGGCGGCGATCTTGGCGCCGCTCTCGCCGCGCACGAGGCGGGTGCCCTTGGAGCCGTCCTCGTCGTTCTGGCGGGCGACGTACTTCTTGTGCCGCTTGTCCCAGCGCATCATGGTGCGGGGCTCGCCGAACCCGCGGCTGCCCTCGTCGCCGAGCAGGTCCATGGCGGCGTCGCGCGACGCCTGCGCGAAGTTGGCGTTCGTGCCGGAGTGCACCCCGTACGCGCGGTCCTCGGCCAGGTTGATGTTGGTGGGGGTGTAGGACATGAAGTAGTCGGGGTTCTGGAAGGAGGCTGCATTCTTGTCCTTGTGGTCCTTGCTGTCCTTGTTGCTCCCGTAGGCGGAGAAGGTGACTTCGAGGTCGGATTCGGACGCCATGGACATGTTGTCGGGGATGCCGGTGGCTTCATCTTCGTCGTCGAAGGCGCCGTCGGCGGCGGCCTCGTCGTTGTCGCTGCCCGCACCTGCAGCGCCGCCGGTGACGGCATCCTCGACGAACTCGGACTGCTCCTCGGCCTGCGCCTGGCGCTTCTTCTTTGAGTCGAGCGTCGTGCGCACGCGGCGGATGGTGCTGAGGGCTTCCTCGTTCTCGGGCTTGCCGCTGCGGCGGTTGTTTACCTCAAAGATCGTCTCCGTGGGCCGGTAGCCGCCGATGCGGGCCAGCATCTTCTCGCGCTCGGCTTCCAGCTGCGAGGTCTCGTCGCTGAAAAGCGGGTGCGTGGCTGCCCAGTTGTCCGAGGCGACCACCTGCTTGGCGCGCTTGGCGCTCTCCAGGGCGGCGGCGTTGCGTGTGCGCATGTACAGCTTCTCACCCTTGGCCGCGACCGCGCGCTGGTTGGCGATGTCGGTGGAGTCCTCGACCACCTTGGCGGCCCACTCGCAGTTCTGGGACAGCCCGTCCCGGGGCAGGCTGCCGACGACCACGTCCTCGGCGTAGTTGACCTGGTCCCCGAACTCGCGGCCCAGCACGAGCCTCCGACCGAGGAAGAGCTGCAGGTCCAACAGGTAGGGGGCGTCCTGATCCCGCACCAGACTGTAACTCCAACCCGTGCGGCCGGCACGGGCGGTACGACCGACACGGTGGACGAAGATCTTGGCCTGCGAGGGGAAGTCGTAGTTGATGACGTTGGCGAGGATGGGGATATCGATACCGCGGGCGGCGACGTCGGTGACGACGAGAATATTCGAAATGCCCGACCGGAAGTTCTGGACCTGGATCTTACGGGCGGTCTGGTCGAGGGAACCGTAGACGTAGGAGGTGGCGAAGCCGGCCTCGCAGAGGAGCGAGTACAGGAAATCGACGTGGTGTTTGGTGGCGGCGAAGACGATGGTCGAGTGTTTGGTGGGGGATTCCCTCGTGTTGATGGCTTTATCCATCGCCGATCGCTTGCGCTTGCGGTCCTTGAAGGGCTTCTTCTCGTCCTCCTTCTGGCGCCGGGCCGCCTCGGTGGGGCCCGTGGGCATCTTGATCACCTCGTGCAGGATGTAGAGCAACGCACCCTCCTTGTCGCCGGACTTGACGGAGAAGAACACATTCTGCAGATCCGGCGAGATCTTGCTCTCGGTGTCCAGACGGATGAGGGTCGGGTCCTGCAGACCGGCGCGGGCGAACTCGACCAGCGACTTGGGCAGGGTGGCCGAGAACAGCAGGGTCTGGCGGTTCTGGGGCAGGCCGTGCAGAATCTCGGTCAGCTGGGCGGCGAAGCCCATCTCGAAGAGCCGATCGGCCTCGTCGAAGACCACGTAGCGAATACTCGACATGTCCAGGTTCATCTCGACCTTCAGGTGCAGAAACCGACCGGGGGTGGCGATGACGATGTCCGGGTTGCCGGCCATCATGGAGAACTGCTCCTCGAGGCTGTCACCACCGACCAGCAGCACGGACTTGAGGTCAGTGCCCTTGCCGAGCTCCTTGACAACCTTCAGGGTCTGCAGCGCCAGCTCACGCGAGGGCGACATGATCAGCGCGCGGGAGCCGACCATGGTGCTGTGGCTCTTGAGCTTCTCGATCATGGGGATCACGAAGGCAGCCGTCTTGCCGGAACCCGTGCGCGCCATGCCCACCACGTCCTGGTCGTCCATGATGACGGGGATCGTCTTGCGCTGGATGGGGGTCGGCACCGAGAACCCTTTCCGGGTGATCGCCTTCAGCAGGTTCGCATTCAGCCCCATCGCCTGGAAACCGCCGCCCTTCTTGACCGTGCGGCCCTTGAGGTTCGAGCCCTTCCGGTTGGCCGACGCCTGTCTCTCCGCGATGAAAGCCTCGTCATCTTCGCCGTCGTCATCGTCGTGGGTGCCGCCTAGGAAATCCAGTTGCTGCGGCGCGGCCGCCTTCGGGGGTTGGCGCTTGGCCTTCTTGTGCGGGACTTGCTCGATCTCGGAATCGCTATCATGCTGGAACAGCGCATTGGTGATGTCGAATTCATTCTCCGACAGAGCGGGGGAAGCAGCGCGAGGGGCCATTTTTGTCTTGTCACCGCGCGCCTGTATGCGGTTTGGCCTGAGCTGTGTCTCGATCAAACATATTTTTTTTTTCTGGCTGACCGGGGAAAATGTCCAAGGCGGTGAAGCGGGCGGGATCAAGCAGCCATGGAACAAACCAGCCAAACAATGCAAAGACGGCAAATTCCCGCCGCGACGCGTCCTCGAACACGTCCCGAAGCGGTAAAATGCCATGAACACTTCCATCATTTCAGTGCAGTGAATAAACGTCCATCCCAACTTGCAATTTTTAAACATACCCCCAAAGAAACAGACTATATAATGGGTAAGCTTACACCCACGACCTCTGCACTTTCTGCACCACCACTCTTTCCTCTCTACCACACTTCCCAGCTTTCCTTCGCTGCTGCGGCACTCAGCTAACAATTTTCGTTCGGATTCTCAGATAGCGGCTACAACAATTACAACACCAGCTACGGAGGTAGCGGCGGCGGCGGCGGCGGCGGCGGCGGCGGAGGCTTCATGCCCGGCGAGATGAACAACAGTCCTTCTGGCGGAAAGGTAAAGCCTACACTGCACCCTTACACCTGAACACTTTTACACCATTACACTCTTGCTTCTGATGGCAGCCACCCCCCCAGTTGCCCCTCCTCTTCTCTTCCCAAATCAACCAACATCTAACTCCTCCCCCCAAACAGAGCGACTACAACAACGCCACCCTCCGTCCAATAACCATCAAACAAGCGCTGGACGCGACCCAACCGTACCCGGAAGCCGGCTACCAGATCGACTCGGCCGAGGCGGCGAGCGTGTGCTTCATCGGGCAGGTGCGGAACATCAGCTCGCAGAGCACGAACGTGACGTACAAGATCGACGACGGCACCGGGGAGATCGAAGTGAAGCAGTGGATCGACTCGTCGTCGGGGGCCGGGGACAGCATGGAGACGGACGAGCACACCACCACCACCAACAAGCCCTCCGGCCCCAGATCCCAGCCCGAGGTGGACGGCTACGCCAAGGTGTTCGGGAAGCTCAAGTCGTTCGGGAACAAGCGGTTCGTCGGGGCGCATTGCGTGCGCGCCGTCAAGGATATCAATGAGGTGCATGTGCATCTGCTGGAGGCGGCGGCGGTGCATCTGTTTTTCACGAAGGGGCCGGTGGGTGGTTCTCAGGGGCAGGGGGCTGGTGCTGGTGGTGCGAGTGGTGCGGCTGGGGATGCGTCGATGGGTGGGGTGGATGATTATGGTGGTGGTGCTGGTGGTGGTGGGCGGGCGTTGCCGGCGATGAGTCCTGTGGCGAGACGGGTGTATAATCTGCTCAGGACGGAGCCGCAGAGTAATGAGGGGTTGCATGCGCAGTTGATCGCGGCTAAGTTGAGTCTGCCCATGCCGGATGTCGCTAGGGCGGGCGATGAGCTGTTGACGGCTGGGGTCATCTTCTCGACGGTGGATGAGCAGACCTGGGCGATTCTGGAGTACTAGGTTTGTTTGGGATGGGGGTTTCTTGTTTGCATGTACGATTTGCGCGTTATTGATGAATAGTATGCAAAAATGGGTTCCTTTGATGGTTGATTTACATTGCCCCGATTGGACATGGTGCATAACGATATTGGCCGATTTGAGGCCTACATACAACCAGAACTAATCTAACACACCTAGCACATACAACATATACACACCGCAATCTCAGTCCGCTTGCAGAGGGTCGTCGTGAGGTTGTCGAACTTTTGAATAAACGATGCCGCCTCCCATATATGTACAGTACTAATATACCGCACCCGTCGTTCAAAGGGGAAGCTAGGTAATAGCAGTGAACCCACAACGAAAAAAAATCATCAAAACATCATGGTGGTCATCATTCGTCGGTAACAGGTAACAATAAATTCAAGTCATGGAGTTCCGCTTCAGGGCATCCTCCACAGAGCGGTTCCAGTTGGTCTGCGTGAGGAAGAATCCCTCAATGATGGAGACGAGCATCAGGGCAAGGGCCACGCCACTCCAGAGTCCGAAGAGACCCCAGTCCAGAGCAAAGGTGGTCCCGAAACTGATGGGCATGGCGATGGCATAGTAGCAGAAGAGTTGGACGTACCCGCCGATCTCCTGCCGCCCGATACCCCGGAGGATACCGTTGCAGTTGGCTGCGAGCGCGTCGAAGAGTTGAAACGCCGCGCAGAGAGGCAGCACTTGGGCAACCAGTTCGATGACCTCCTCCTCGGACGTGAACAAGCGAGGGATGTAGTAGCGCAGCGAGGAGAGGAGGAGCATGTTGAGGAGCCCGACAATCACGGCACCGACCATGGTGACCTTGGCAGAGGTTTTGGCGGCGTTGACAAGGGTAGCGCCAATCAAGTTCGCCACACGGGTGCTTCCAGAGATGGAGACAGGGAAGGGGATCTGGAAAGTGATGCTAGAGATGGTCGAAAGGATGGACTGTGCGGCCAAGGGGGTTGTTCCGAGATACGAAGAAGCCAGCGTGAGGACCTCGAAGGCCAAACACTCAGCCTCGACCATCAGGAGACCGGGAAGAGCGAGCTTGATCATGGGACCCCAGTTGCGCAGCGCCCTTCGGGTTACACCATTCCAGCATTCGGATCCCGCAACAAAGTACACGTACAGAAACAGGAAGAGCGGCATCAGGTTGTCCGTGATGGCCACGGCGATGGGGGCTCCAACGAAGCCCCACCCGAACTGCCAGACGAACACGTAGTTCATCACTGCATTGAGAGGAGCACAGATCAGGAGGACGTAGAGAGAAGCGGAGAACAGACCCTGCGCCTGCACGAACCGCTTCCCGCTCTCAAAACAGGCATATCCCGGCGCACCCAGTGCGACCACCTTCAGATACAAGCCCGCAAGCTCAGCCACTTCCTTCTCCGGCACAATCCTGACCAGGACCTTGTCCGCGAAAAACCAAAGAATGACAATAGGAATGGAGATGGTCCACAGGAAGAAGACCATCTTCTGCATTTGCAGACCCACCAGCTTCTTCTTCCCAGAACCGTAAGCTTGAGCGCAGAGTGTATCGAGACTGGTAGCCAATCCCTGATAGACTGTGCACGACAAATTGAATTAGCACTGTGTTAAGCGAATGCAACCAGCCTAAGTTCGAGACTTACTAGCATAACCCGTGATATTGGCGCTCATGCTCGCCAGACTGACCGCGCCCAGTTCCTTCTTCCCCAAGTGCCCCAGGGTGAAGATACTAGCCACCGTGAGGGAGTATTGGAGCAAGAAGGTGAAAACCAAAGGCGCCGCATTCTTGCCGATGACCTGAGCCTCGCGCTTCCACGTTGTCTGGATGAGACCCGCGGTGACGGCCTCCTCCCACTTCCGGTCGATCTCCTCGGAGTCCACGGAATCGTACTGCGGCGCCCGCGAAGATCCCTCCCCACCGAGGAGCGCGGTCTCCTCTGTGGACGGCGCGGACCCCGAGGCCGAGCGACGGGTCTTCTTCCGCGACGGCTCGATGAAATGGTTGTCCGTGAGGAGATTGCGCTCGTCCTCGATGGCCTGGTCGCGTTCGCGCCGGGTCAGGCCCTCCTGCTCCGGGCGATACGGGACGACGGTGGCGCGCGAGACGGTGGTGAAGTAGCTGGGCCGTTGGTACGAGCCGGCCAGGGAATGGGCGCGGGTTCCGGGCTGGCTGCCGATTGCGCGAATGGTCGAGGTCTCGGAGGCATCGTCGTCGTCGGTGGTGAGCATGGAGCCTTCGTCGTCGGCGTAGTCCTCCAGGTCGCGCGCAATGGCGGACCGCGCGAGCGGCGAACGAGACAGGTAGTGGTGCTCGTCTGACATTCTGGGGGAGTGAAAATCGGAATCGCGCGGAGTCATGATTTCTCGGATAAGAGGTCGGCGGGAGCTGCTGAGGGGGAGGGAGAATTGGAGGTTTATAGATGGAAACTAAGGTAAGGAGCAATGCTGCATGATTTGCCGAAAGCCGCAGCAAAGGACTTCCGGAGTGAATGAAGCACTGGAATTAAGCAAGGAGGGGAATTGTTTAAGACTCAAGAGCGATTTAGCGACTGAGCGACTGGGATAGTTGGATGGGGGCGACGCTTTTATCGTCTCTAGCGATTGGACAATACCGGAAGGTCTAGCTAGCAGCGAGCAGCAAATTTTGCGGCGTCGGCGATTGGCTTGCAAGTGCAAGTCTGGTTGGAAGTGCCCCGTATTGTGGCTGCGGGTCTCTTACCTTACCTTATCTTTTGAATCTCCAGCTTCGTCGACGTGACTCACCTCGTGTCTTTTCCATTCCCATTGATTGATTTGTGGTGGCTTCATTCACTCGGAGAATATCAATTAGCCCGTCTTGTCATGACTGGACAGAGGTGAAATTGAGCAATTCGTTGAGACAACGTGGAAAGTCTCATGTCACTGTTTTCTCCCTCTGATTACCAGGAATGGAGTAGTCAGGATTGATTAGCCCCGCATTGACCGATAGGGGGATGACTAACCCGTGCGCACCAGCCATCAGCCCATGCAATTGGATGCAATTGGGCGGAATCCCAAAGAAGATGGTCCAGCCGAAGGAACCAAGTAGATAGTAGGTGGGCGAGATCGGCGATACTGGATTGAGGGACCTTATCCACCGAAGCTTCAACATGACAGACTGAGGAACGGGTCGATCAGGTGTCAAACCCGAGGAGGGATCCTTTCAGCATAACCATAACCCATAACCCAACAATAAGAACGTCGACACCTTGTGCAACGCCGAGTTCGCAAGACAACGCGGCCGTGACATCATTCTGCCCAGGGTTGTCGCCGAGCATGGAATCACGTGCTGGGATGCATCACTAGCCATCACTAGTAGTGTACTCCGTACCTTGGCTGTCACCGGACCCTTTTCCCAGCACCCAAGAATACGACCAGTCTCAGAGAGAGAAAATCCAGAATCCCAGCCATGAGCATCACCCAGACGCAGCGAGTCAAGGTCGCAAGCAGTTGGCCTGCACAGCTTCGATATCCTGGCTGTGATTATTCGATCCAGACGTGAAGCAGCACATTGCTATACCACACAACAAGTCCTCAACTCCCAACACACACAACTGCAACAATGACAACCACAACCACAACCACAACCACAACCACAACCACAACAACCCCCCACCACCCCCCCAAGCCCCCGTACAACCCCCTAATCAACCCCGCCAACGCAACCCCCATCTCCGCCAACAAGTCAGTCTTCCCCCAACCCCGCAACCCCCCAACCCCGCAACCCCCAATCCCCAGGGTACCCCCCTTCGAACCCCAACTAACCCACTCCCAAAAGCCCCCCCCAACCCACCACGCACATCTTCCTCGCCCGCCCCCTCAGCGGCGCCCTCCTCTTCGACAACCTCACCTCGGACGCGCGCGACCACTGCGCCAACGAGCGCACTTTCCTCTCGTGGCTGCGCCTGGCCATGTACCTGGGCGTCGTGGCGATCGCGATCATCATCTCGTTCCACTTCCAGACGCCGCCGACGGGCTTGGAGCGGCGCATGGCGCTGCCGCTGGGGATCGTGTTCTGGCTGCTGAGCCTGACGTGCCTGATCACTGGATTCGCCAACTATATCCGCACGGTCCGCAAGTACAGCCAGCAGGCGGCGCTGGTGCAGAGCGGGTGGAAGACCCAGGTCATGTTTACGGTGGTCGGGACGGTGATTCTGGCGTGTTGTGTGCTGTTTTTGGCGACGGATGCGAAGACGTCCCGTTGAACTTTCAAGGGACATGGGTTGAGGATGGATTATGCACTACGATCTCAGGTGAGCGCTAGAGGGAAGGGTATAGGTCAAGGTGAAGGGCAAGGGCAAAGTCTGGGCCGGTTTATGATATGTACGAAACAAGCGAGTCGCCAATTATCTTTAGCATCAAGATCACGGTCAATGTGAATGCAGTGGTTTGTTGAAACTTGAGGATCGAATTCGAGCATCGAAACGCTAGCCATATGATTGTGAAAGAAGGGGAATAAATGGGAACACTGCAAAAAAAGCAAAGGGTTTCGTCCATGATGAGCACAGCAGCAACGAAAACAGGGATATTAAGATATGTATGGGATGAAATGCAGACTAGACCGTCACGCTGGACAACGGAGAAACCCCCTACATCCGACGAATCTCCTTCTCATTCTTGTAGGCCTCCAACGACGGCGAGCCGAGGTGGCTCCACCACTCGAACAGCATCGAGTTGCAGATGAGCTTGAACCAGGGCGTGAACTTGAGGCCGGGCTTCTCGAACATCTGCTTCAGCTCCTCGGCCGAAACATAGCAGGTGTCGCGGATCTCGTTGGGGTTGATGTTCAGGTCGACGTCGGCTTGGATGAAGAGGATGTAGTCAACTGGAGACGGCAATCTGTAAGCATTTGGGTTGACAGCTATGCAGAAAAAAGGTAACGCACTCTCATGCTCCCCCCACTTGCCATCGCTGGGCGCCTTGTAGTGGATGCGGGTGAAGAACTCGAACTTGTCCAACGGCACCTGCTCCGCCTTGATGCCCAGCTCCTGATCCAACTTGCGCTGCGCCGCGCGCTTGACCCCGAGGATCGCGGCGTCCAGCTCCGAGCCCGTCTCGCCGGGGATGCCCAGCGGGTGCGAGCAGCAGGTGTTCGTCCACATGTCCGGGAATGTGATCTTCTCGGTGGCGCGCTGTTGCAGGAGCAGGCGCTTGTTGGAGTCGAAGAGGAAGACCGAGAAGGCGCGGTGCAGGAGGCCGCGGTCGATGTTCGTCATCAGGTGGCCTAGTCATATAGACATAAGGTGTCAGCGATTCGGAACGAGATGTAGCCCATACACAGGTCTTCCGAAGAGAGAGAGAAGGGAGGGATAAGCGGCCAACGCCACCGCTGTTGTTTTCTCCCTGAAAACTGAAGCTTTGGAGAGCAAAACTTACAGGCCTTCTTGCTGGCACTACCGATAGGCTTGTCGTCCTCATCCAGAACAATGCACACCTCATCCATCAAACGGACCTGTTCCTCATCGTAGCCGGCCAGGTCGTCGCTGGACCCGACGGCGGCAGCACTTGTCGCAGTCGGGAGAACCTCACGAGCGAGCGAGGTGTCGACCTCGGGGAAGAGGGTCGCGACATTCTCCGCCGTAATTCTTGGCGTCTCGGTGACAGTTGTCGTGGCGCTCATTGTGTGAAGGTTGACAACTGGACTGAGGAGATGTTGAAAGCTGAAGGAGGAAGAAGAGAGGTCGGGGAGGAGGAGGAGGAGGAGGAGGAGGAGGAGGAGCGAAAGGCGGGCGGCGGGTTTGTCATTTATTATTATTGACCCTTCATTTTTCCGCGGGGGGGAATGGGAGAGAGGGGGCGGGCGGCCCCCATGCCCCGGGCGGTGGCAGAATCTCAACTCGTGCGGAGTTCTTTTACCACTGAGGGAATGTTGCACAACATGGCTGCGCTGCGTTGCGTTGCGTTGTTCCGGGAGTTGGCTGCATGAGAGGGGTGCTTTGCAGCTCGTCCGACCTATGGCCTTGCAACAATGGAGGTCATGCGCTGGACTTGAGGTTGTTGGCACCAAGTATGAAGTTCTCGGCTCTCGATTGAGCAACGTCTGATCTGCAGCGAGACTGATTTGAGTGCCTGCACCACTTGCCTGCGTCGCCTGTGCTTTCTGGGGATGAGATGAGGAACTGACGGGGTCTGGATGCCATTGAACCAGATAGTCAGTGCATGTCAGAGCCGGGAATGTGTCGCTCACTGGTAACGAGGGGCTCTGACGCACAGCAGTGGTCCTCAGTCCCACAAGCAGCTCTATCGAGACAATCGGAGGAAGTGATCCTAGCTTGCCGATAACTCGAGATATGAACTCGAGCAGTAACTTGGGCGATTGCTCGAAGGCTGGCTGGCTGTAAGCCAAAGCAGATACATTCCTAGCTGCCTGCTCTGTCACCGAGTACTGTAGATTGTCACAATCGAGCACCCTTGCATCGGTCGTGCAAGAGAATCTGCACAAACCATGTCAGCGTGAGATGGGCCATCAAGCACTTAAAAGCATCAAGCACCATACAAGCACCCAAATACTCCGTATACATACTTTCCATCACCCGAGCAAACAACCATCCCCTTTTTATCCGTGAAAGCAGCGAGGTACAGTACCTGCAGCCATAAACCGAATCGACCACGCGGACGTGGGGGGAAGTTGGGATTCTCAAACCCCGAGCGACCTTGCCATGCTTGTATGTTCCAACCACCCCTTCAAGCCCAACATCTACAGAGGCAAGGTACAGTGCATGCATCACTTGCATCGAGTCCCCGGACGAGGATCCAAGCATTTACAGAGCTATGATCCTAGTCATAACTATAATCTGCAGCCCATCTATATACTCTTGTTGTATTGATTGAGCTTACTTTGTTATATGGTATTGTTCCCCAGCACCCGCACCAGCACCATTCCACACTACAAACGTAATATTAATCACCCTTCCCATAGACCTATACCTCAACCCCTGGATACAATATTTCCTCAAAACAAGAACCTCTCACCCACTCAAAACATACTCCGTACACCCAAAAACCCCAGCCCCTCCCATCCCATCCCCAACAAACCCCCACGAAAACACCCCGAACCTAAGCAGAAACAGGCAAGCAAGTCCCACAAAAATACCCCGAAGCCTTTTGACCTACGTACCTGGTAATTGAAGGGCCCCACCTCGATCCGACTCCGATTCCGACTCTAAGAGAGACAGAAAGAAGTCCGATGATGTCCGGCCACACCTCAAACCTCATAAAACGGAACCCACTTAGACGGAAAAATGAATCAAGAGCTAAATTGAGACCAATATCCGTAGTCGATGACAACAAATCGACCCCCGACGGTGTTGAATTAGCCCTGAGTTGGAACCATGGTACGGTCGCAGACTTTAATCGAGTACGTACCGTATATGCGTCGGTGTTACTACTCCGTAGGTACTACACAACTAGTCTCGATGCGGGCAAAAGAGGGTCAAATTGGAAAAGCCTGGACTACTCCTTGGAGCTTGCTCAGGGGATGACGGTTCGGGGTTAGGGCGGGTAAGTTACTAAAGCGGGTTGACTACCTAGTAGGTACCTAAGGTAGGCACCTATCTACTAGGTATGAGGAATAGCCAGCCAGGTAGTTAAGTTAAGGAGGCTGTACTGGAACTACTGGCCCTATTTTTTTCCGCCTTGCCATGGTTCGTATGGTGGTTGGTCGGTCGGCGGTCGGAGCCGGAATTTTCAGAGGCTTGGGTGTACGTGCTAGCACGTGCACGTACACTTGTTCACACTTATACACACTTGGGACGGAGACCGAGAAAAAGTGATGTAGACGAGATTCGTTTGTCAGCCTGTCGGCAGGTTTTTGTTGATGGGAGTGGGTGGTCCACTCCCCAAGGCTTCGACCGACCGGCCAATATGAAGAACCCTTGGAGGCCACTCTAGGACTTCTTTTCAGCCCGTGTCTTCGCAGCCTGGTTCCGTCTTTCTTTGTTCGAGTCCGATATAACTCGAGCCTAGCGTCTGTTTAGTGTCGAGCTAGATTTGCGCGATTGTCTTGCCATGCCATCTATTCCCAGCACTGTGATACAATCTGTGGTCTTTGGTTCGAGTGAAAGGAACAATGAATCGATTGTATGTGTGCATGTGCTGTGCGAATCTCCTACAATCTGCTCTCCTTGCTTCCGCATGGACCTGCCACGCGGGAGCGTTGAGGCTCTATAGCCCTCCCATGTGCTCTATACGAGCTGCAGAAACATTCAAGCTCGAAACCAGATAGACCAAATGCCAACGCAAGAACCTCCCCAGACGGCAAAACCAAAACAAGAGCAATTGCCGTGGAAAGTAAATAGACAGACATGAAAACAGATGGCCTCCTTGCTACAAACGTGTAGATATAAACAAAATCCTCCCAGAATGTGATGTGCTAGTATCGACGGTAACCTCCCAAGAAATCATACAGGCGTGTCAAAACATGTGGTCGTCATGCTTGCGGTCAACGCAGGGCTTGACCGGTTCCAAAACTTGTGCAGCGGTTGGGTCTTCTCCCACTGCTGGTCAAAGAAATACCACCGATGCTGGTGGCCATACGTGGCGATGAATCATCCGGTGAAAAACAAATCCACGAATGCCGTATCAGGCTGATCTTAAAACCCTCTACGAAGCGTGGCACTTTCGCATCTTCCGAGGGCATCCGTCTAGCTTGTGTCTATCCCAGTGTCAGCATTTGAGCATGTCGAGCTCACTGGTACGGAAAGTTGTCAACATACCTATTAAGCGTATCCTGTCGGCTGTAATACTGCCCGCACTGGTCGCAGTAATGTTTACGCTCCTGAACGTGGGCCTACGACTGTCAGAAACTGGACCTTGTAGATCAAGATTTGCCACTTACGCTCTGCACATGTCTCCGAAGGTCAGTGTTCCGCCCATATGTCTTTCCACAAATAGCACATGGGAAAGACTTTCTCAGCTTAGGGTCATGCCTCTTCTCGTGCTCCCGGCAATTCGAGCGTCGAGTGAACCGGAACCCGCACACACTGCACTTCAGGCCACTCGCAGGTGGTATCTTCAACTCTTCACCGGGAGTTCTGACCACCTCCTCGATCCACCTTGAGATTACTTCGCAGGGGATTCGTCCGAGTGCGTTTTCTTGGTCGGAAACCAAACCGGCTGAGTTGCTGCGACTATCCATGGGAGGCCATTGTAGCCCGGTGCTTGTGTCGCTAAGAGGCATAGGTGGCATCTGGGAAAGTGTAGCAGCAGATGCATTGGAAGCTGAACCTTGGTGCACAGGCGGTCCCTGCAACCCATGCGAGTCCTCCTTCATGGCATAGTCCACTGGCATATTCGGACAGTCAGAAGTCGGCGTACGAGGCCATACGGATGACCCGTCATCCGGCGCAACTTCGCGGTGGCCCTCGGTCTCGGTACTCGAACCATAACTCGGCGACGAACTTAAGGTATGTGAGCTATAGAAGCTTGCCGGGGAGGGAGCGGCTTCCATGACACCACTAAGCGGTTCAAAGATGGTTGTTGAAGAGTAGAGCCTGTATTCTGGAGGGGGTTGGAGGAAATTCTCGGAACTGAATGTTGTATTCGACCAAGCGTTGGCTGACAAGGTAGGAGGTTCTGGATGCGCATACAGTTCGGTCTCAGACGCAGTACTTTCCATGCCGAAGTGTGATATGCCCAAGCCAGCCAGCTGTTGAGTGTTTTGCATATCGAAGGAAGTCGCATACATAGAGGACGCATAAGCGGAAGTGGCATCTAGGATCGAGTGGTCATCCGATGCTGAGCTAGCAAAGGGCGAAGGTGACGAGTATGAAAAAGGTGTGAAGTTCATGGTTGTTGAAGAAGCAGCCGGGGTCTTGAAAAACGTGACGAGAAATGATGGAGGCACGGGCAAGAGAATTCTGAACCAAGGTGGGAAGGAGGATGCTGAAGCTATTATATCTTTCACAGCGTCTTGATCAAAGCCAAGGACGATCAACAAGTGACTGAACAATGCGAGAGGTGTGACTGAGCTGTGACAGTGAGAAGAATTATATAAAAAAATTAAAGAGTCAAAGTGACCCGGTAGCAACGCTGCTGTGCGATCGCAATAGTGGCGCACGACAAAAAGCGGCTGAAAGTAATGACGACTAGATTGCCATATGACAATTGGAGTACAGCATCCGCCGCATGAGGCACAGAAGAGTGAGATAGAAGCAAGAAAAACGACGCCTCGTCAGGCAAGGCAGACTTGAGGAGACAGTCTTGCATGGGTGAGAAGGGACTTGACGCGAAGGGGGTGTGCAAGGCCTAGCTGGGTAGGGCCGAACCAAGTGGACTGCAGCCTCTGGTCTGCAGCATCCATATAGGCGCGACAATTAGATATTATGCACAATTAATTAGCGCCGGAAAGATGTGATCAGGCCAAGTTGCCAGTCACTCTTATTACCCTGGGCTAAAAAGAACAAGAAAAAGAGGTGTGGGTGGGGAAGAGCGATGCATGATTCGATTGACATCGGATAACACCGCCGTGAGGGTGTGGCAGTTGGTCTGAATGGAATCGACGGTAATGGGGACCCGACACGCACTTGACAGCGGATAGAGGGGAGGAGGAGCACAAACGGCAGCCGACGGCGCTTGAACAAGAGAGGGGGGAAAGAGGGAAACGGAATCAACCCCAGTCGATAGACGGGTGAAAGGGAGAGAGGGGGGAAAGAGATTGGATTGCCTGTTCCACCCAGGACTGCTGGAGAACGACGAGCATCAGCAGCGCCTGCATCATAATTATTGAATGGGACCGCTGCTTTTCCCAATAGCAAGACTGGTCAGGCGCGATTTTCTTTTCTTTTCTTTTTTTTCTTTTTCCCTTTCGTCTGATTCATTCTCAGTCTTTTTGCTGCGGATGGAAAAGGAATAGCTGGGACCCGACAGTCTGGTACCTTGCTTGGCAACGCAACAGTGCGTGTCGCCAGGTATGATTGACAAACACTGCCCCCATGGCTGAGGAAACGAGAGGACAGGAATTAAAATCCAGAATCGCAGTCACGTAGCAGAGTAGTAATGTTGGTGACAGGAGCGTAGCCCAGGTGTTGTTGGGGGATATAGTTGTAGATGAAGATTCATGTTGAAGGCTGGCTTATCTTCGTTGAAGAAGAAGTTCAGTTTTAGCGGAGAGAGAGGGGGAGAGATGATTGAGGAGGGAAGAATACGTAGTTAGAAGGGGAGAAGGGGAGGGGGGGGGGTTCTCAGTTACCCGTGACCCTCTCCCCTCCCCCCCCCGGTCCGGGTACAGTTTTAGGGGTGTCTGAACCAGGGCAATGAGGGGCGCCCGGCCCTAATCCCGGGCCATCCTCCTACCAACCTTGGAGCTGGGAAAAATGGCATGGTCCCGTTATTATTATTGTCATTGTAATCACCGAGTATGATTGTTTCTAAATCGAGTAGAAAATTGTAGGAAATTGTATCAAATTGTATCGAATTCCTAGCCCACTGTGACTAATGCAAAGACTTACAAGAACAACAACCTCTGCATTTACCTAAAAAGTGCCGTGTTTACGACCTAACTGTAGTGCTAACTCTCCTAAGCAGTGGAAGGCATCTGAAGGTCTAGATGTGTCTTATCATCCCAAGAGCACCACCTACTGTACTGTACATGGACTAAAGTAGCATCGACAGCCAGACTAAAGGGAACAGGAAATGCAAGAATGCACCAGAGTGAGGTTGTCACACAAAGACATCTGAGCCGCGCAAAGAACAAAAGGAATTTAATCAAATATGTACAATCATCTTCAGAAAGTGTATCTTGTTAATGGGACCATCTAGGCAATACAACAAATCTTTGCGTGCGAGTGAAGGCTTCGAAGCTCAAGAACGTAAGCCATTTTTGAGTTGGTCTCGCTGGCCGGTGCTCGCGCTAAAGCTTAGGCTATGAAGCCGGCCCTGCGGCGAGTGCGTGTGCCTAACAGGCCTACGGCACAACCGTCTCCATGTTCTAGCCTAGCCCCTCGCCAGCTGGGAAGGGCTAACTTAGCGTTCATTAATGAGCTCGATGGAGAAAGGCCACGGTTGTAGCCACTCGTTCCACTTGAACTCGCAATCTCTCTATTTCATCGACCATATCCGGAATGTCAACAGGTCCAGCCTGCCCTGGAAATGATCCGCGTATCTCCGAGTGAGAGCGCTCCTTGGTTCTTGTAGGTCTAGAGAACTGCCCCTCACTTGCGGAGCTCTGCAGCGGGGCATGGTGCGTGGAGGGAGGGAAGCCCGCTTGGAAAGACGAGGTCGGGCGACTGCTCCCTCCTGTCGTGGCCGTTGGTGGAAACTGACTATTTCGCCGCGAAACATAGCGGCGGCTAGATTCATAGGCCCAGATCAGTGCAACAAACGGTAGGTGGGTTGCTCGGAGCAACACGATGCGGACTCGGCGAATATGCTCTGCAGACAGGAAGAGCCTCAAGGGCCGGATACAGAGAAGAGGGATGAGGTTCTATAGCGTAGCGAGTCTTGCTGTTAGCGACTCGTTTTCTGATGCAAGTTCAAGTGATCACCATGGACTGACTAAAGGGGGCATGAAGTAGGTCAGCCTTCGCGAATTGCTGCTTTCCAAGACGTAGATCGACAGTCTGGTACTAGCGTAAGTTATTGTTTTTCTTTTTCGTTTTTTGCATGTCGCCCAAATGGAATGCTCACTGAAAGAGGTACTCTTCTCTCGCATGAGCCATGACCTGAAAGATGGAGCGAATGCCGATTAGCAGTGGACAGATTAGGAAGTGCGCAAATCAGCCACCGTGCGCAATCAACATACCCCTTCAAGACTCATGCTCATAAGGCTGACCAACGACGAGAGCAACAATAAATTGGTCATGGAGACAAAAATTAACCTGCAAACCAATGTCCGTTAGCCACTCTCCCCAAGCTATAATTGGGGAGTGATGGGGTCCGTAGTCGTTCGCATCGATGCCGAGCTGGTGTGAGGCTTGACGTGCTATAGTTGCGTCCTATTGGCGGCCCGGCAACACCGGCGCTCACCAACGGGCCTTCAGAGCATTAGGTCCACGACCCTATGATGTCTGATGTTGGCATCGCCACCTTCAGATGCACCTGAGCAAGAACAGAACTGGCACTGAGATCAAGGATAGAGAGGGGAAATCGACAGGGGAAACGCCAAACGTGATCACAGGCGTATGCGACCGGCACGTCCCATGGCATCTGTGGCGCAGTACGGAGTAGGTGTAGTACAGCAACAGCAGTAAAAGGGAACGGGAACAACACACATCAAACCGTAGCCGAAGATCGGGGAAATCTAAGAATTAGCGCATCAGTAAAACTTCACTTGAGAGCCAATCGATTCCGGCGATCCTTGCCATCTTCCAATCAAGATTGCATGGCGCCCGGCTAGTGCATGAGACTTACATCGTGAGCGATGTCCTGTTTCCAATCATTTGAGCCACCGTCAGTCTTGCAGAAATTCGAGCATCCAAGAGACAAGGGACAACCCACGAAGCCCAGCACGTTCGACCTGCCTCGCAATGTTAGCTCCATGGAAGAGTCGTCGCTAACCAGGGAATTTCACCGCCATACCCAAAGAACACCTTCACCAAAATCCATGACATTTGCCTGAGAGAGAGGCGGTCACGGGCAAGCATGGTAAACGTGGTCAAGAACCCTGCAGGAACATCCCCGGCCGCATTGGCATCAGGCTTTCTCGAATGCGTCATTTGGGGTTACCCACCTAGGTACAACACTACAATCACAGGGATAAATCGGAAGAACGCTTTGGTCTAAAATGACTTCCATCAGCTTCCTCGCCACCTGCAACTACGGGACAGCCGGGTAATTGCACCATCTCCTTGAGAACCGGGATCTGTGCATGGAAGTCAGCCCAGTCTCCTCAAAAGCATGCATAATCCGCAGGCATGGCATACCAGACTTCCAAAATAGGAATTTAAGCTCACCAGGGAGCAGATCCTGTTCAGCTCCCATGTGTCAGAGTCCGCTGAAACACGTATCAGCTTGCTGGCACAGGGGGCCTCCGGACTCACCGAGGAACTAGAAACAAAGCCTCCAGGGACAGGATATCGAAAGAGAGGTCGGTGATGTAATCGCTCTTCTTCGCCAGACCGATAACCCCTATTGATATTCCCCGTTCAGTTAGTTAATGGAGAATATGCAAATGCCCCTGTCAAAAACCTGGTTGCACAGAGACTGTGCTCAGCTGAGGGTAATGGGCACTGCGACGAGGCAGATTCCTGATCTCCGAGCATGACTCACTTATGATCATGAAGGCAAGACCGGTACCGATGATGGCTATGTTCCAGACACTCCAGAAGTCCATCTGGTAGAAGACCATCCCCGCATCAGTCATGCCGCTGAATTCGTCGTAGGCAAAAGCAGCAATCCAAATGTACATCAATGTTTCGAAGATGCCAATTCCGGTGGACTTTCTCTCCACCAAGACAGCATAGTAAAGAAACAGGAAGGAGACGAAGAATGCAGCCTCAAAGGCTTTGCGGTATACTGGGACCCTCAAGCGGGAGTATGGATCCGCGGTCCTATATGGCATGTCTCTTAGCAACCTGCGAAATGCTCCCCCTCCCTGGCGTAAGGGACTCCTACCTTTTGTTGAAGAACTGAGGTTTCTTGGTGGAATGAACACTGAGCGAGTCCCAGAACACAATCTCCCCGTTCCAGATATTATCAATGACCTTTTGAACAACTTTCTGACTGAGGAACTTCTTTGCTTCTGCGATGGCTGCTATTTCCAAGGCGCTCAGTCCAAAGAACATGGAGTACTTCATAAGCTCATACGCGTCCGCAGAGGAAATGTTACTTCCAGAATTTGCTATATCCGAGGTGCTACCTGCGCGCCTCTTGCCGCCGAAGAATCGGTACAGCGAAGAAGATGAATGCAGAAGGAGGGGTGTTCGTTCTCCTTCCCGTTGGAAACTTTGCTCGTCGCCTGCCGCTGCGAAACCCGATGCGCCTCTCTCTGCCTGGGTAAGGCTAATCGAGGTATACACGGGGCTAGGTAGCTCCTCTAGCAAGTACTCGATAGTCTCGCGCTGATTGATGTGACAGAGAAACTGCCATGCTACGTATTCGCATGCATAGCCGCGGCCTTCATTCAGACCCCAGTCATTTTCGGCTGCATTGTTGAACTCCCACTTCAGGATCCTGCAGCAGGTCAGCTCGGGGTTTCATGCAGCTACATGCATGAAGATGCTTACATCAGTGCAGAGATGATACATGGGTTGTGCGAGTTCTCTGCCAATGAGTACAGCAGTAACCTAAGCTTCTGTCCGCAAGGTGAGAATCTTAATTCCTCAAAAGAATATGAGACCTCGGAGACCGCTTGTATCATATAGCTAAGTGAAAGTAGCGAGTCAGCCTGACTAGTACTAACGGAATGCCGGGGCAAGAACTTACTTTTGAAGTTTGCGTACGACCTCGATGAGGGGCTCATTGTCATCAATGATAGGAACCTCAATGTGGTCTTGATCGACGGGCGGAAGTGACGCCATGGAAGACTCCATCCCGAAAGAAGCCATCAGTCGAGTAAAGTAGGCCCGTGGCCCTCAAGTCTGTACGACCTGGCCATGACTAGTATTAGTGATGACCCTTGATGTAGATAGGAAGCGGGAAACAGTGACCTTGAACACAAGAAAGCCAACACGTCAAAGTAACGAGAAGAAAAGGGATAGAAGCAGACGAGGACAGAGAGCGTGAATTCAATAATTCAATACAATCTTGTGCTCTTTTCCGTTCGGGAAATTTTTTTTTCTTGTCCAGGTGCTAGTTTTTCGAAGGGTCCGCGAATGATTTGTCGGTGAACAACTCTTCACCAGGAATGCATGTCAACCTTACCGGGAGCCAGGTACTGAATGGCACCGATAGTACTGTACCTGGTGAGGTACTATTTCTAGCATAAGTGCTTGTCAGCCAGAAAAGTAGAGAATTATTGAGGAAGAAGGTAATGTAAAGAGGTGCTCACTTAGAATGATGGACTATTGTCCATAGTGTTGACTGAGTTTGTCTGTGCAGTGTAGCGACCGTTCTAAATAAGTGGCCGAGTATCTGAGGTGTTCCCGGGAGGATGGCGAGAGTCTCAGCATCGACGGCATGATTGGCTCATTTGGTGCCATAAACCCGCCGGCGAAACAAGCTCTACGGGACGCCATTGCAGCCACCTCCCATCCGTGCCCAATGATGAAAGCATTATTGAGTTGATGACTTTTAGTTCGTCCGTCAGAGGCAACAAGAAGGTGTACAGCTGATCGAGCCTCACTTTTGTTGAAAGGTGAGTACTCGACCAAGAGTGATCATCTCAGCTCCACGTCAACGGATTGAATCATCGGCAGGCAGGGGGAATCCTTTAAAGCAATAAGAAATTCCACTTCTATTCTGGAAAGAATTCAACTTGGCAATAACAATAGTTTCGAGAAAGAGCTGCATCCAAGCAAGCACCATAAGTAGTAACTTACTGAGTAGGATGGATGAGACTAACGTACAGTCTACTGTGTAGTTAGATAATCTATCTGTATTACAGCCGAAGCGAAACCGCCTCACCGCTTTCCTTGAATCATGTGACCAACATGGGAGCTCCAACCGTGTCGGGCGCGGCTTCACATTAAACTTATCCACTCATGACCCAGACCCAATCAACCAACCGCCTTTCTTCCTGGCCTGGCTCTCTCTCTTTCAGCCAAAGCATCTTTTCCTCTACCGTCTCACAGTCTGCTCTGAAATTACCTCTAAAAACCTTGATGTGACTGGTCGAATCTTGCTCTGCCGTATCTGGGAGATGAAGGCGCATCAACACCATGGGCCAAGGCTATTCACTCACCACCCTGTCCGCGGGTTCGGCGGGGATCGATGTTCCCGAGTTATCGGACCTGGCGTATGAGAAGTCCATGGGTGGTGGCAGGTTCATGAAAAGTATCCGAGCCAGACAACACAATGGCCTCGTTTTCGTAAAGGTTATAATGAAGCCTTATCCCAGCATGAAGCTGGAGCCATATATCAAAGCTATCCTTCGTAAGTTCCGATAGTGACGATCAACCGCATCGCATGCGCACTGGTGCTAACACCGGCGGTAGGTGAGCGCAAGCTGTTGGCCGACGTACCCAATGCTTTGAGTTATCAGAGGATACTCGAGACCAGCACCGGTGGTTATCTCGTTCGCCAATACATCCATAGCTCTCTTTATGACCGGATGAGGTATGTCTGCTCAAGATTTGTCACGATAGTATGCTCAACTGACCACAGTGCACAGTACCCGTCCATTTCCCGAGGAGATCGAGAAGAAGTGGATTGCCTTTCAACTCCTATGCGCGTTGAGAGACTGTCATTCGCTCGACGTGTTCCATGGCGATATCAAAACCGAGAATGTTTTAGTCACGTCTTGGAATTGGCTCTACCTCTCTGACTTTTCATCCTCCTTCAAACCCACGTTTCTTCCGGAGGACAATCCGGCGGATTTCTCATTCTATTTCGACACGTCCGGTCGTCGGACCTGCTACTTGGCACCCGAAAGGTTTCTCGAAGCCGGTGAAGAACCTGGAAGCCGACATGTCAACTGGGCTATGGACATCTTCAGTGCTGGTTGCGTCATCGCCGAACTTTTTCTAGAGGCTCCTATCTTCACATTGAGTCAGATTTACAAGTACCGGAAAGGTGAATATAGCCCAGAGCATAGCCAGTTGATCAAAATTGAGGACCCGGAGATCCGTGCCTTGATCCTCCATATGATACAGCTCGATCCTGAGTCCAGATATTCCGCGGAAGAGTACCTGAATTTCTGGAAGAACAAGGCGTTCCCCGAATACTTCTACAGCTTTCTACACCAATACATGTCTCTTATGACGGATCCATCGTCGGGTAGGGCACAGGTTGAAGCAGGATCTACCAGTCGAGGAGAGGCCGATGACCGCATTGAAAGAGTCTACCTTGACTTCGATAAAATATCCTACTTCCTTGGTGCGTCACCAGCGACTACCAAAGATGGATCAAATCGCAATCGCCCCAAGCTCACCGGCGATACATTTCCTGTGGAATTAGATCTTCCTCACTACGGGCTTACGGGCACAAAGCCCCAGCCACAAGGAGATGACGGAGTGCTCATATTCCTGGCCCTCGTTGTCTCCAACCTGCGCAATACATCGAAATCATCCGCCAGGATCAAGGCCTGCGACATTTTGCTTGCCTTCGCCGAGAGATTGTCGGATGAGGCCAAATTGGACAGGATCCTTCCATATATTATGATACTTCTGAACGACCGCACGGATAGAGTCAAGGTAGCTGCCATCCGTGCCCTCGCTCAGCTCCTGGAAATGGTTCAGGTTGTTTCACCGGTTAATGCCTACTTGTTCTCAGAGTATATCTTCCCGAGGTTGCAACCGTTTGTGCCCAGTACCAGTTTCAATCCGAGCCGACTGGTGCGAGCGGCATACGCATCATGTATTGCGTCGCTTGCTCACTCATCCTTGAGGTTTTTGGACATGATCCAAGCCCTGCGTTCTGATACACGTCTTCCAGCTTTGATACCGGTTGGATCAGAGCCCAGATGGACAGAAGATGCGACATATCACAACCTTTACGATGTTGCGAGGGTTGATCTCCTCGAATACTTCGAGGCACATACTAAAGCTATGTTGACTGATAGCGACGCATCAGTTCGTCGCGCCTTCTTGGGTTCCGTGTCAGAGCTTTGCGTGTTCTTCGGTAACCTCAAGACTAATGAGGTGATTCTGAGTCATTTAAATACTTATCTCAACGATAGGGACTGGATTTTGAAATGTGCCTTCTTCGAGGCAGTGATTGGGGTTGCAGCTTACGTTGGCACTACTAGCTTAGAGCAGTACATTTTGCCGCTAATGGTACAGTCGATGACTGACCCGGAGGAGTTCGTCGTCGAAAGGGTACTCAGGTCGTTGGCAGCAATGGCTGGTCTTGGGCTTTTTCAACGCTCGACGACTTGGGAGCTGATCAATATTGTAGTCCGATTCCTGGTGCACCCGAACGCTTGGATCCGTGAGGCGGCTGTCCAATTCATCATCGCGTCAGCCAAATTTCTTTCGCTGGCAGATAGATACTCTATCTTGACCCCGCTTGTTCAGCCGTTCTTGAAAGTCAAGATCGTTAATTTCGCTGAGGGTGAACTACTCGACGCTCTCAAACGACCACTCTCGAGAAATGTGTATGAACTTGCATTTGTCTGGGCGTCAAATGTCGAAAAGGGCCTTTTTTGGAAGGCAACATCCCGTGAAGCGAGTTTTGCGTTCGTCGGAACAGATATTACTATTCCCAGATGGGGTCAAAAGAGTTCGAGCTTGTCGATGAGTACGCAACCGAGGAATGAAGAGGATGAACAGTGGCTGGCGCGACTGAGGAACATTGGAATGGGCCAGGAGGACGAATTGAAATTCCTTGCACTCAAGGAGTTCATCTGGAGGGTCATCGCCCGCCAGTCGAAGGACAACGCAGCGGGGACTTCTCCTTTGAATAACGTTATCACTTTGACTCAGTATGGAGTTACCCCACAGACTGTCTTCTTTGACAAAACACAAAATACCCGGCCTCGCACAAACTCCCCCGGGAGTACGGAGAATGCCAAGGCTGAAGACCGAAGACCGCATACAATCACCGATGCCTTGCTCGATGCCTCAACGTCTATTGACAACAGACCCGAGTCCCGCCGGAAACATCTTCGTTCTAGGAGCCAACTAACGGACCATCTGACGATCCCACGCCCTATTGCTGTGAACAATATCAGGTCCGAGAATTCTCCCGTTCCATCGCCAATTGCATCTTCGCCTGGAGCTACGGGACCTGCCTCGCCACCCAGTTCGGACGCCGAACGAAGAATCTCGGGGGGTCGCGAGAGCCCGGGACAAGATAGCTCATCAACGCCCACCGATGCGGAGAATCCTACTATAAGAAGGTTGGCCAGTGGCGTACAGAGAAAGTCGAGCGCCATGAGCTTGCTTAATCGTAGGGATTTTGCCAAAGCATACGCCGAAACGGGCACAAGCCCCGCGAATGCCTTTGGCAAGGTCGACTCTCCTTCGCAACGCGAAGATGAACAAGCAGTTGCTTCTCCCATACTCCCTCCAAGGACAGCGCTGGAACGTGGCCCACAGCAGTATCATGCAAATCACTCTTATGCTGGTAACGACCCGGTAGTTCTCCGCCTCCTTGACTCGGTTTTCGCGGAAAACTACCCCACGGACTTCTTCGACCTCGGTCCTTATGTCAAGGAAGTGGATACCAAAAAGCCGATGATGAAGGCCAGCGGACAGGAGCCCAGCAAAGTGTGGAAACCCACTGGTGGCCTTGTGACGGTATTTGGGGAGCACAGTGGACCTGTCAATCGGGTAGTGGTTGCGCCAGACCATGCCTTCTTCGTCACGGCCTCTGATGATGGCACTGCAAAGATCTGGGACACGACCCGCCTTGAGAAGAACCTCACCCCTCGTTCTCGTCAAACGTACCGGCATTCCACCGAAGCGAAGGTAAAGTCATTGGCATTTGTGGAAAACACCCACACTTTCATCACTGGGGCAAGTGATGGTAGTATCCATGCGGTCAAAGTTGACTATCACAACGCCAATGGGAACGTGCGCTACGGGAAACTTCAGCTCGTGCGCGAGTATCAATTGCCCCCGGCTAAGGATGGCACTGTCGAGTATGCTGTCTGGATGGAGCACTTCCGCGTCGAAGCACAGTCGACGCTCCTGATTGCCACCAACACATGCCGCGTCTTAGCCCTCGATATGAAGACCATGCTCCCAGTCTATTCTCTGCAGAACCCCGTGCATCACGGGATACCGACCACATTCTGCTGTGATCGCAAGCACACCTGGCTCTTGATGGGCACGACGCACGGCATCCTCGATCTCTGGGACCTGCGGTTCCGCGTGCGGTTGAAGGCCTGGGGCCTTTCCGGCTCGGGTGCTATTCACCGGCTTCAGGTCCATCCGACCAAGGGACGTGGGCGCTGGGTTTGTGTGTCTGGCAGCGGTGCCCACGGCAACGAGATCATCGTCTGGGACATTGAGAAAGTCCGGTGCCGCGAGGTATATCGCGCCGATTCACTGGGGCTGGGCGCCTCCGGTCCCAATGGGGTGCCACCGGACAACCGGCCCAGGCCAACTTACCTGAGTGCCCGAGACTATGAAGCCTGGCATGTGGAAGGCGACCGACCGGAAGGCATGCTCAGCCGATTCGCGATGGAAGGATTGGCCTCGGGACCCGCCGACCACCCCTCGGGACCGTCCTCGTCCAGCGCCCCTGCCGGCATCTGTGCCTTTGCCGTGGGGTACGACTCCCCCGACGACGGGCGCGACAGCAGCACTCGGTGCGGATTCATTGTCTCGGGCGGCTGCGACCGCAAGATCCGCTTCTGGGATCTCACGCGCCCGGACATGTCGACGGTAGTCAGCGGCCTCGATGCCGTGTCCACGGACGGCGGGGCCACGCAGAAACCACGCTACGAGCTCTCCCAGCCTGGTCCGTCCCTCATGATGACAACGGAGCACATCCCCAATGGCACCTCTGCTTCCTCCACCGGCCCCACGGGCAGCAGTAACAAGGGCGGGAGTGGCGGTGCTGGGAGCAAGAAGGGCAGCAGCAGCGGGCGACTTCCACGAAGCACGGTGATCAGTCTCCAGCAGCAGCAACTCCTGAAGAGCCACCTGGACTTCATCCAGGATGTCGCCGTGCTGCGGGCGCCGTATGGGATGGTCGTGAGTGTCGATCGGGCGGGGATGGTGTATGTGTTTCAGTGAGCTAAGCCTACAGGTAATATGCACTTTGCCTAGTATAGGTGATGAGGTAGTCTTTCAACAATCGAACCCCCCCAAATCAGTCTCCTGCAAACCATCCAATCACCTACAGTCCAGTACCAGTCCTCCATATCCACCGCGACAAAAACACATCCATAAGTACCAAAGGAGTGCAGAAATCCCATCCCCCCCCCCCCCCCCGGAACACCACCAATAGCTCAAATCAACCCACCTGCATCCTGCATAATGCATCCGCAACGGTCTGCCTGCAACACCACGAGCGTAAGATCACCGTCCCCAACGTCGAGATCATATAATCATATATGATATGGCAACAAACAGAATCATTAGACCGTGAAAATCGACAGCGCGGGGAGGGGCCCGAGCGCCGTGGTGAAACTGCGTGCGTACTGTCATCGTCTCAGAGAAAAAAAAAACAGTGCTTCCCTTACCTTGCCTACCTCGAACTCAGGAGCGTTAGTACGTACTGTACTTGCAGTAGTCTGGCTCTGTGCGGAGTGATCCTGGCATTCGACTAGACTATAGGTTAGTTAGTCTTCACCGGGATTTTGGGATGATTAGACTAGGTAGGTTGCTGAAACACACTATTTAGTACGGAGTAACTAGGCGTTTGGTTGCAGGGGTGCGGGTGGGTGGCTCCTGCTGCCATGTGGTTCATGAGCTCGACTCGTTTTTGTTCTTTGGTTGTGGTTTGTGTTGCATGGGAGGGTTTCTATGATGGGTGCGGAGTAATGTTGGTGTGTTGGGGGAGGGGAGGGGAGGGGAGGGGGTAGGGCTTTGCTTCGTGGAGGGATGGAGAGCGTGAAGGTTTGGATGGGTTTCTTTGGGTAACTTAAGTGCGGTAGATGATCTGGGGGAGTTGTTACTACTCAAGGTGCACACCATGAAGGTGGGTTTCTCTATTATCATACTGCTGGGGTACAGAGGGCGATACGGTAGTGGCTGGGGATGCGAGTAGAATTGGTAGGGGGTATTGGCTCAGGGCCCAGATACTGTACTGTGCTTATAGTCTTGTGAAATGTGCAAGGTCTCGTGGAGGGAGGGTGCATTTGTACAACCAGGAGCTTACCCTGTTCCAAGGGCTCGGGATCAGGACCTTGAGAAAGATATCGTATTTCATGTGGGAGGTATAGAGGCCTAGTCTGTTTCTTTGTAGTTCGAGAGATCTTTTGAAGAGAATTAATGATATGTGTTGAGGCGCTTGTCCCACTACGCGTTGTGAAAAACATATAACCAGACATAGTACATTCCGTCGAAGAGCATCAAACTAAAGGCACGTCAATATTATCTATCTTATGATCGCAATCGGCATTCCAATTGAGTACAGAGAGCCAAGTGGTACAAAAGTACTGCACCGACAAGGTTCCAGATTATAAACCAGGGTCTGTTTCAAAGTGCCCGGGGGACGGCGAGAGCATGACGCGAGGTTCAGTCAGGGCTGATCGGGGGAAGGGGAAAAGTTCATTTCGGGTGATCTTAGGTGAGCTCCATCTTTTATGGCGGGACCTGGAGCTCCATGCGGAATTGCAACCGGGTGGGATTTTGCTCTCGTAATCGTGATTCGCGGTTTGTATATTTGTGACCGTGGGTGGAGCTCGACGCAAGGAGATCTTCGCTGGGGCTTCTAGAAAAGGAGTGTGGCCGGAAAATGGGACAGGAAGACTGTTCTGTTGTCTTGGGTTTAGTTCGGCTTGGTCAACAATTCAATTTACTCTGTATGTGCCAAGGGGACTCTCTCTGGTAGTGAGACAGCATCCTGATATTCCGGCGCATGGGATAATTCATGACAGACGTCGGTATCCGTGGCAGGGGATTGCGAATCCCAAGGGTCGATTCTGAGGGCGGGAATCGCAAGAGGGGGAGATTCTTCCCGCTCACGAACCATGGATTGCTGAGATGAAGGCCTCTCTTTCTCTAACACTTTTCGTTCTCCAATCTGGACTCTCGACTGCTGGGTCGGATCGCTTCATTTGACCCGTTCGTAGTTTTCACACCCCGCTGTCATCGCTAGAGTATTTTGTAAAACCGAAATTGCGGTGTGTTTGTGTGCGTGTGTTTTCTCGCGAAGATCGAAGTTGCCTCTCGTTGCCTCATTGCTATTCAGGTGCTGTTGAGACCCATCTTCTAAATGCAAAAGAACTTTCGGCACTGTGGTTCTTGACTTAAGTATTTATCCTACATTCTTCAGATCGGATGATCATATCAATCTGCGGTGTCCGACGGATTATCGCGGGCGGACCGTTCGATCCCTCAATCATGACCCTGCGATCGCTGTCACCATCTGCATGCACACGGTCTTTCGATCCAATAGTGGATTGCTTCAACGTCAACTCGCTGACAGGTAACTGTTACATGCGTATCTCAGAGCTGTCAGTTGCAGCTGCGCCAGCTCTTTTACCGAGTCCGGTGGTTTGGATGTGACTGACTCGAGCGGTGGAGCCCGCAGACCCAGCGGCCGGCAAGCGAGACAGAACTGCCGCTGACGGTCCATCCGCACTGGTGGCGAAGGCGCTGTTCTCGCCAAAATCCTCAATTCAGCATGCCCGCTCGCTGGCAAAGTGGCGGGTGCGTTGCAACGCGCCCTTGTCCAAGTCAACGTCAAAAATGTCGTTCTTGATGCATTAAAGTTGCCCATGCAGTTCTCTGCTGACCAATGCGGCTGGCTAGTCTTTACCGCAAAATGGGTCTGAGGGCGAACTGCTGCAAACCATGAAAGGAAATGACGATCATCCTCTGGCCCAGACAGGGATGGCTGGTCGATCGTCTATCTATTCCGTACAGGACTGAACTTTGACAGCCTGCCTCCGAATTGTGTGCATCTAATTAGCTGTCGTCTGCGAGCTGCCAGATGATATGTCGCGATCTCAACCGATCATCTCTTCTGTTCGATGTCTACCCGTATAGTTCATACTGCAGAGGAAGACAGGCTGACAGAAGACGAGAACTCACCTGTTAATGGTAACAGGCACAGAAGCTACGAAATTTCCCCTGATAAGCAAGCCCTCATTGGCCTGGGACCGACGGAACCCCCTCCCACCCCCTCTTTTGACCTCCCTGACAGAGACGCGGGCGGGATAGGGGGCATGGCTTTTCCTGACCTCGGTGCATCCGGTGTCCTCGACTTGACCCTTCTGGTCATGTCTTATACAGTGGATACTGCGAGAATGCTGGTTATGATCTTCCTCACCGAACCAGCGTGGCTCAGGTTTTGAGTTTTGACTGGTTCTTCATTATTCCGGTTGTTGGTTTGGCCTCATCGTCCCAATGGTTTCTTTCCGGAAAAAGCCCCATTGTCGCGTGGTTGAGACTTTCGGGCCGATGATACCTGGGGTTCTCTTGTTGGCTGATTCCCATACCAATGCAATCGCAATCCAGACTATAAACTGACCTGATTTCCTGTGTGATCCAGGACTCGTCAGGCCAAGTCAGACTGTCAGAGTAACCGGTCGAGGGATCTCTCTCCGCGCAATCAAGCTATAAGCTTCTCCTCTCCCCGCACGGGCGCAAGGAACGGCCAGCAGCGTGCAGCTCGTCCAGAATAGAATTCGGCGGAAAATCGGGGAAGAGGAAGATGGATGGATGGATACTTGTAGAACTTTCATCTTGCCTATTGCACATTGCACATCACATCACACTAGCAGAGCTGTAGTTTGTGCTGCGAAGATGCAATTGACCTCCATGAAAGGGAAGCACGAGGAAGTGGAGATGGGAAAAATTAGTGCCACGGAACTAAAGAGCTTTAGAGAGCTTTAGTGGGTTGGCAAATCCACCGGCGCAGGAACAGGACCGGCTTTTCCACTTTCCGCAACCCCCTTTCATACTCTACTCTAGTTAGTACTTTAGTTTACCACGGAGTACAGGGTCAAGATTGACAAGCTTGCGCTTGTTCTTGCTCGAGAGAGTTTCTCTTCTCTCCGTAAAACCAGTTAATCTATTTTTCTTTCTTCCCTTTTTCTTTCTTTCTTTTTTTAAACCTTTTCTAACGGCCTTCTTCCCGTCCTCATCCCCTCCCTCCCTCTCTTCTTACCTCTTTCTTTTCTTACCTCTTCCTCTCTTCCTCCCTCCCTCCCTCCCTCGCTCTTCCCCTCACCCGAGGATCAGGTCTATTCCGTGTCAACAACCACCGCCACCACCACCGCACCAACCGATCCCAGGGGATAGAGACGAGAGAATCCTTGCCTCGAGTCCACTCAATATAATACATACATACACACATGTCTGACCTTTGAAAGACGTGCCTGTATCGCCCGACCTGGGAAATGTCCATCAATTGAGTGTGTGTGTGTGAGCAGTAGCTGTGACCGAATTGTCCGATCTCTCTTTATCCGAGTCCATCCACCCATCCAACAACATTATTATCACCAATCGCCTGTTTCGCCCCCTGTTCGGTTGTTGTCTTTCCTTCGGCTTCACCTTCATTCCCGACTGCTAGCAGTGCTATCTTCAGCTCGTCCTTGGTCATCTTCTCTACTCCATTACGAGCTTTCATTCCCTTGTTCCCATCCGACTGCTCTGTTCCGTTCCTCTCATTCCCGTCAGATCTCTCAGAATCCGTGGTTCGAGAAAACTTGCCACACCCAAAAAACAGGATCACCCAGTTGACCTCGCACATATCCGAGGACCAATTCGTCACTCTGCCGACACAAGTACATAAACAATCTCCCCGACCGTCATTATGGGCCCGTCTCTGAGAGACCCTGCGTCCTACGCCCGCCCATCTACCCGCGATCGGCCTTCAACGCGCGACCAAGGAGAAAACTCGCTGGTCGTCCCCAGTCGCACCTCCTCGCTTCACTCCCGCATCACTCAACCAATCCCATCCCAGATGAACTCGAAACCCGCCGCCCAACGGACCCCCAAGACTCTCACCCATGCCTACATGGTCTGCGGTGTGGGTCGCGAACCCTCTCAATGGGTTCGCGCCCCCGCCCCCGCCCAGGGCAAGATCGCCCACATGAAGGGAGCCGTCAGTCAGTTCTGGTTGCCTGAGATCCTCGGGAGCAGCCCCCGTTTGGAACAGGATAACGAGATCGCTAAGTCCTTGCATGCGGCTATGAGAGTATGTCATCGCCCCTGTGTTATGTCCGATGGTGTCAAACGAAGTTGCAGGTTACTGACATGATCTAGGCTTGTTTCCCCCACGATGTCGAGATTTGCACCGGCAAGACCCAGCCTCACTGCGTGCACCATGCTTTCGTCCTGCAACAAGATTCCTCCCACACACTCTATGGGATTGCTTTGCGGGTCTGGTCTCGCGCCGACGATAAACGCGCCGAAACCATCCGAGAATTGCGGAAGAAGACTGAGCAGGATTTCTATGACAACCCAGAGGAGACCTACTGGATCCCCTACTGTCTGAGCTTCCTGTCTCGCTACCCTCTGTACGACCTTCTAGGCGACTACCTGCGTGGCATGTGGATTCATTGGAATAAGGCAACCAACTTGTTCCACGCGGAAGAAGTCTCGCGCATCCTAAGCTTCCCCGCCCCTCGCCTCAACGACCTGGTTCGTATTGACATGAAGGACTATGCGCTTTGCTACCAATTTCCCTCGTCTCCCACAGGCTTCCAAAACTTCTCCATGTGGCCCTTGTTCACGTGTCTGTCCATTCCCAATATCGTTGGGGTCATTGAGGCTGCTGTCTCACCCACCCGCCGGATCATCTTCGTCAGCCACTACCCGGCTATGCTCACAATGGCCGCTGAGACTATCCGGTACTGCGTTCGCATCTACGAATGGAGCGGTCTCTATGTGCCTATGGTTCATGCCCGTCATGTCAAGGACTTGGTCCAGGAACCCGGTCCGTACATTCTCGGTATCACCGCTGAGTGCCGGTCTCTTTTCAACGCTCCTTCAGATGCCTTGGTCATCGATCTCGACCGGAATTTCGTCTTGACTTCGAGCCCACCGAGCGTCCTGAGTCCCGGTCAGCGCACGAAGTTCATCAACCGATTGACGCAGGCTCTCAATGGCGATGTCTCGCCGTCCGGGGTTCCCAATCATCTCCGCTCCGCCTACGCAGGTGGCAAGCTCATCCCCGCTGGTCAGATCATTGTCATGCGAGGGGAGGTGGAAAGTGTTCAGGATCCCTCCTGGTGGAACCAAGATGCGATCATGGGTGTCATGGATCATGTGTGCGAGAAGCTGGTTAGTATCCCTCCTTTCCATTCATAGTCTGTGTATACTAACTGGATGATCAGGGACGCAACACTGGCATGAAGGCTATCTTCGGTGGCTCAGTCAAGAAGCCTTTGATGACAAAGGTCTCTATGAGACATCTGAACGAGATTGTCCGCGAGAGAAACCAATACTCCCGCGATGCCATGGAGGCCTGGCAAGATTTCATTAACTTGAAGGGTCGTATGGACACGGAATTGACCAAGGTCACGAAGCGCAACAACTTCTTGGTTGAGGAGTTGGAGACTTGGAAGCAACAGGTATGTCATTGCGAGGACTTTTTCGATTGTGAACGTCGTCCTAACTTCGTACAGTTCCTCAAATTCCAGGCGTTCGCCGAACAATTGACCAAGGAGACCTCTGAGCTCAAGGTCAAGATTGAGAATCACAAGCGCGAAAACCGTCGTCTCACTGGTCTCATTGACCAGCAGAAGGACGATGTGGCTCGTCTCACACTGCGCCTGTCTGGTACAGAGAAGCAGCGCGACGATGCACTTGAGGCGTTGGTTCTGCAACAAGAGATTGCGGAGGAATTGGAGCGTGAGCGGAAGCGTAACCAAAAGGAGCTCGCTTCCTTGCAACACAGCAACGCGTCTCTAGCTCGGCAGCGTGATGATGCGCAGCGGGTGGTCCTGCACCTTCGCAGCCTTATCAATGGCCAGACCCACCACATGGAGCATATCGTTCGCTCGATTGGCAGCTCTGCCGAACTGTCCGGGCTCGCTGAAAAGGAGACCTTTGAGGAGACCAAGGAGGACGAGGTCGAGACCCCTAGGGAACCTGCGAGCTCGCGCTCGTTTGCTACGGAGCCCGTAAAGGCTCCCAGCAGCGAGCCGAGCTCGGATTTGGAGCAACATCTCCTGAACATCGGTAAAGGGCATAATCGTCTCGCGCGTTTAAGTATAACTGATGTTGCAGATCGCTACCTGCGCGACAAGACCGATGCCATTTCGGACATTATCCGCAGCATCAGCGAGCAGTGCGCCGCCGCCGTGGAAGGTCTGCAACTGGCACAGGATGCGGAAGAGGATGACATTGATGACCACGGTCGGACCACCCCGTCCGGTAACCGCCTGATGCCCAGAACGCACGATGGACTCTTGACTCCTGCGGGTAGCGAGATGGGGGACGGTGACAACAACTCGTTGCACCCGAACGACCGCCATTCGAGTGTTCCTCCAACACCGGACCTAGTCCACAACCGGTCCAGCACTTCGATGTCAATGATCAGTAGCTCGACGTTCCCGGAGAGATCGAGTCAGCAGTATGGGGTCAGTGAGATCCCTACCCGGATAGTCGAGGACAACGATGAACGTGCCCATGAGACGGCGGGCTTTGATGAGCACTCTGAACCTGGCACTCTGTCGAAGCAGGCGAGCGAAGACCTCATGCAGTCCAGCACTTCCAGATTGGTCGTGTAAAAGTGCATTGTCTCTGCGATTCCCTGGTCCAACGATCCGTGACATGACATCTGCTCTTATACTGTTCCAACTGATTCAGAGCGCATTTCTAGCCATGTTCTGGCCTTTTTTTCTCTCCTCCGTTTTAATCTTTTTCTTGGGGGACCTCGTGGATATTGGCTCCATTTGATCCAGTTTGGACATATGTCCCATGATTTTCTGCACAGGTGTTAATCTCTTTTCTTTGGGAAGGTATTTCTTGGATCCAAGCCCGTTTTTCTTGGCCTTCTATTCTTGGGACCCCTCGATGTCTTGGGTTGCTGTCTCTTTCCTTCACCGGTTCTATACCATTTTCAATTCTTGGGATCTGTCGCTATCCCCCGCCTTGTAGTAGATCACCTTGGCACTCTGTAACGGGGCCGACCCTTCATTCGCTCGATTTTCCTACTGTGTCATCTTTGTGTTTCCCATTTGTGTATAGTTCCAATTCTCTGGAGAAGGCTGCTTGAAGCTGCCACGTGGAGTCCGTTATATACGGATCAGCCGATTCTTTTTACCGTGCAGCCAGTGCTGTACGAGATCATCTCACATTAATTGAACGGTTTTTTAAAAGTACTTATCACCCCCAATCCACGCTGTCCGATGTCCTTTGTACTGTCACCTGTACCGAACCGTGCGTGTTTCGTTTAGGCCAATTTCCCCGGCACGAACGGGTGTCCAGCACTCAGTCCGCCACAAACGGCCCAGGCCTGCCCGTTGACGTAGCTGGCCTCGTCACTGCCCAAGAACAGGGCGACGCGCGCGACCTCGTCGGCGATGGCCCCGCGCTGCAAGGGGTTCAGCTGGCCGAGCTTGCGCTGGGTGCCGCGGGCGCGCGCGGCGTCGAACATCTGCTGCGTCATCCCCGTCTCGATCAGGCCGGGGCAGATGGCGTTGACGCGGATGCCCGTCCCCGCCAGCTGGAAGGCGGCCGTCTGCGCGATGTTGACCACCGCCGCCTTGGAGGCCGAGTAATCCGTCGAGCCCGCGTTGGACCGCAGGCCCGCCACCGAAGCCGTGCAGATGATCGAGCCGCCCGGGTAGGGCTTGGCGGCGGACGTCTGCTGCATCGCGGTCGAAGCGTGCTTAACGGCCAGAAACACCCTACCATGGGGACTGTGTCAGCACCAATTACTCTCTCCATGCTTATTCTTGCGCGGTAGATGGGCTCTCATGCCGCCCCCCCCTCTTCGGGTCAAAACACATGAATAAGAGAAAGGAAGGTTGCTATACGCACCCCACCGTATTCACGCGCAACGTCTCCGCAAACTCCTCCGCCGTGATCTGCGTCAGCAGCTTCTGCTGCCCCACGACGCCCGCGTTCGCGAAGAAGATGTCCAGCCGGCCGTGCGCGCCCAGCGCCTCGGCCACCACCGCCTGCACGGCCCCTTCGTCCGCGGCGTCGAACTGCCGGGTGTACACTTTGGTCGCAGGGTACAGGGATTCGATCTCCCGCTTGTGTGTCGCTAGGTGCGTGTCGACGAAGTCGCAGAGGTAGACCGCTGCCGCGCCGTTGTGCGCGTATTGGTGCGCCGTGGCGCGGCCGATGCCGGTGGGGGAGTTGGTGCCTGCGTTGGGGGGTTAGTTTTTGGTCTTTGTGGAGTGGAATTTGGTTTGGGATGGTGAAATGGGGGTTGGCCCGGGTGGGTGTGGTGATGCTACTGCTGTTGAGGGGGATCGAGAGGGGATGGATGGGCTGGGTGGGCCGGGTGTTTGGGAGTATGTAATGCATATTGTATAGTTGGGCATTTACCGGTGACGATAGCGACTTTGTCCTTCACCCGACTATCCCTCAGAGGTTAGTTGGCTCTCTGACAGACGATGACTTGAGGGGACTCGGGTGTACTGACGGCCCCACGGAGTCAGGGGCAATGGATCGGATTCGGGGAATATCCTCGAAGGTCCCGGCGTCGGGGATGCCTTCGACCAGCTGCTGGCTGAGAGCTTGGAGACGGCGTTTGGCGTTGCCGGACATGGTTATGGAGAGATCGCTTTCGAGGATGAGAAAGAAGAAGAAAGATAAATAGAAGTGATAATCAAGCCTACTGTCCACCAATGTCAGTTATATGGTCGATTGAATACGAGAACAGGGGGGTTCCCTCCGTCCTTATATACTCCCCCCAATTGTCCCCGCGGCAGTTCCGCTTACATTTTGCGGAGAACCGAGGCTGGGACGGGGCTGGTCAGGTGACTTGGAGCTGTGGTCTTATGTCAGCAGTCACATGGGTTGCTGCGGCCACACGTCATGGACGGGCAGAAATGCCATTCCGCTTTGGAAAAGCAACCGACATTCCAGACTTGCCCGCGCGCCTGATTCCTCTCGTTGCCCCGTCCCTGTTTTTTTTTTTTTTCTTCTGCTCTTTTCGACCTCTCTCTTCCATTATTATCTGAGGCGGTCTACGCTGTGGTCTGTAGCTCACTGTGCAGATCTTCCAGCACTTGCTCCGGTTACGACATCATTCAATCTCCTACAAATGAAAAATCCCGCGAGGCAGCAAGCACCACTGCACAGCTGCTACAGTTGCACGAGACCTGACCACCGTCTCCAAACACCACCTTAAAACCAGCCACACCACTTCCATTCCTGAATCTGTTCATGATTTGTCGAAGTTGAACTAGGAATAGTACAGAAAGCGAGACATCAAAAGTCTACATGAAGACCACAGATCTGCAACCCTCCTCTCGTGTTCACCGCCCTAACAGCCATGGCGGAGTGCGATCTACCCACGGCACCAGCACCAACACCACCGGCCCCAGTACCGCGTCGTTCGTCCTCGCGGACCTCCTCCTCTTCCCGACACAGCCAGAAGGCTAGGACCGTCCGAGCCCGCTCCCAGAAGCGCCATTCCGCCGCCTCCTCCAACGCGACCACCACGGACCTCACCTCCTTCCCATCCCTTTCTCCGCCAGACCGCTCCGTGGACGGGTTCCTCGGCCAGCCGGCCCTCAACCGCGCCCTGACCAATGCACTGCTGGAAGACCGGGATCTCTATAGCATCAACGACTTCCTACACACGGCGGGGGAGAATAATAACAACACCACCACTACGCGGGACCGGCGAGCCGCCCTGGCCAAATTGACGAGCTCCTCGACCACCGCCAGCGCGTCGGGGCGCGCCGCCCTCTTCGGCGACTCGGTGCCCATCCGGGACTTCCCCGGGGCCCTTCATCTGGCGGACGATGCGCACATCGAACGGCTGATCGCCACCACAGGCGCGGTCAAGCTAGTGCGGCAGTTTGCGCGGGACCTGGCGCAGCGGGATGCGGAGATCTCAGCGCTCCGCCAGCGGGCGGACGCCCGGGAGCGTGAGCTGAAGCGCATGCTCCGTGAGGTCTCGGTCTCGAACCAGGATATCGAGCGGCGGCTGTATGTGTTGGAGCACCTCCCCGTGAATCCCGAGGGGGCAAGGGGCAAGGAGAACGGCGGGGCGAATGCGGAGCAGTCTGGGAGCTCGTCGTCGAGCGTACATGGGCTGATGCAGCAGGCGATGGACGACGGGGTGGGGTTGTTGCACGGAGCGGAGGATCTCGGTGGGGCGGAGAATGGGGGGAACCCGGCGCAGCAGGCGACGGTGCGCGCGCCGCAGCGGTCGCTCGAGAGTGACGCGCGCTCGGGCCACTCGAGCCTCGACTCCAACTCGAACCGTAAGAGACAGAGCTCGATCCGGAGCTGGGGCGATTTCATTTTCGGCGGGACGCTAGGGAGTCGGAAGACGAGTCGCGCCAGCAGTGTCATGAGCGGAGCCGAGGAGGAGACGCAGCGGCCTCGAAACGCGAGCAACCCGTCGGCGGGGCGCCGCAAAGCTCTCGATGATCAATTGTTCCAACCCCCGGACGACCAACAACAAAGTGGCTTGGGAGCCGGCGAGGTAGTTGGACGGCGCCTCGCGGCCGCCAACGGCGATGACGCCAGTGTCCATTCGCGCAAATCCTCAAAGTCGCTGTCCTCATGGACGGTCAAGCTGTTTGCCGGAAACACCCAACCGAGCAAAGACGATGCGAACGCGGGAAATACCCGCGGAAGAGCTATGTCGGCCAATCGCGAAGCGAACAAGCCTGTGTCACCGGCCATTTCGGCGGTGGCGGCGCTGAAGCGGATCAACAGCAATGTCAACATCCAAGGTGCTCCAGGTCGATCCCCTGGATCGGGTGCCTTGGCCAAAGCCAGCCAGGCCGGTCGGAGACAAGGGTCGGCGAGCGTTTCACAAGGTGCAAGCTCCGAGGCTGCAAGCAAAAATGCCACCAATCTCGGCCCCGTGGAGATGGATGCGATTTTGCCGCTGGAGGATCGACCTCCGACGCTTGCTAACATTTACAACAATTACCAGTCGGGAGACATGCTGACGGACCGATTCGGGTTCATCTACGATCAAAGCCGGAAGAGGCGGCAGAGGGAAGCCAGCGATCTGAAAAGGGGTGGGTCGGCAGGTAACCGGCTCAGCATTGCGGAGACTCTAGACAGCCTTCGCAGTGATACCTCAGACGGCGATGATGGCTCCGATTATCGGAATCTATTGCAGGCTACCACTGGTAGCGAATCATCTCCAGCATCTGTATCCCCCAGGAACGCCGAAGCTGGTGCTATTGCAGTTGGGCGATGGCAGGACTATCTGGTGGTTCCGACGGCACCGACTGAATTGCTTTCGCACACCCCCTCCGCTGGTCCCATCATCTCTTTGACTACTGCAGGGGATGCTCAGCCGCGCAGCAGCGCAGTAGCTGTCGACAAACGTGGCTCCGTCTCCGTCACCCCCAACGCCCAGCCATCTGCATCTACCTCAACGGTGATTGCCGATCGCCCAGAGTTCGCCGGGCTGTCCTCCGACGAGACTGCCGCGCTGGCTGCCAATGAGAACGAGCCGGTCAAGTTACTGCTAGAGCAGCTGACCGAGCTGCATGATTCTCTGCAGCGAGAAAGAACGGTGAGATGGAACGAGTTCCTGCGCAAAGTGCGTGCCGAACGCCGCAAGGATGGGGAAGCCGCTGCGGCCGCCGCCGCGGCCTCGGACCGCCCTTTGCAGTCTGTCGATACGCCGGAGGCGTCCCTAGCGGACGGCGAAATGGTGGGTATATCTGG